TCACCTGGAGGCTTCTCTGCCCCACCCTCACCCTCTGGCCAGGATCATACAAGGCTATATCCCCTGCTGCTTGGTTGACCCCACCATACTCAGGGTCACTCACTGTTCAGCTCTAATTATAGCTATGAAGTGCTCCCTGCCTCTTAGGTATTCTGTTTGCCCCATTTCTGAGGTCAGATGGATGTCTGCTGTCTTCTTGTGTTTTCCCTCCCTGTCTCCCCCAGCCTCCTGCTCTCACGCTCACATCTCACCTCGTCGTCTTCCCAGGCTGCCTTTTCTTCCAAGTCTCACCTTTTTTCCCAGCAGAAAGCTCTGCTTGATTTTTGGTGCACTGCTCACTCCCCAGCTCCACTGGCCCAAGTCTGAGCCTGGGCCCCTTGTTTTGAGGGGCCGGTCAGGGTTGGATGTGACTACCCCTGAAGAACAAGGCTAACCTTCGAGGATCACCCTTTGGTTGCTTGTCAGACTCTTGAGTTGGCTCATTTGTCCAGGCAATGATGGCTGGTATGGGTTGGGACAGTCAATGTCACTTCCTTATTATCTAGGATCTCTCAGAGTCTATCTCCCCAAGACAGGCAGGGAAATTCTGATTTCTCTATTAAGAAAGTAAATCTCCAATTCACCAGCAATAACAATCAGAGGAGACTTGGCCCTCAGTCCTTGTATTTCTCTTTTTCACTCCCTCTTCCAGCCCCAAGATGGAATTTTGGGGTCTGGATGGAGAGGGTTGGTAACTACTGTGAGCAAGTCCCCCAACCCCTGACCAGCCTCCTCCCATGACTGGTGACTGTTTAACAAGCTGTGCACCCCCCACAAAAACAGGAGTGCCCTGTTTGTGGCCTCCAACCCTCTGCACAGCTCCTTCTGGGTGGTCCTCAACAGGCTTTTGCCCTTGATTGGCGGCCACTCTTGCAATCACTGCCCACTCCTCACTGCACCTGCTCCAGACCCTGAGCCTGGTCCACAGGGACTGGGAGAAGGCATCAACACAAAACAAAACAGAGATGGGGGGAGAGAAAAATAAGAACAGCTTTGGAATGTCCAACCACAAAATAAATTATATATAAATATATAAATATATATATATATATCTACCATATGTGATGGAAAGACTTTTCATTTTCCTTTCCCAAAGAAATAAAATGGAGAAGCCTCTTAAATGGCATCCTGTGGCCAGCTTGTATCTTTACAAGTATGGGAAGTAAGGCTTGGGAGCGCAGGCAAAGCTGGAACAAATGGTCTCCAGAGGAGGCATGGGACCAGAGGACCTCATTGTGCTGTGCAAAGGGACTGACTCAAAGCTCCAGTCTTCCATGTTTGTCCAGGAGTCATGGTTCTACCTTCCCTACCACTGGGGGTGGGGAGTTAGGGAGGTTTCCTCTTCAGCTCAGACTGTTAGGAGTGTTACCAGCTGGGTCTAGCTCAGGAGCAGTACACTAGGCTGCTGTCTAGAAGGCAGGTGATATGGGACAGCTAGGTGCAGCCTGCAGGCACTTAAAACAACCCACTGTGAGTAGCAGACACTCATGCATGCAGTAAGTGGTAAGCTGTCCTTTATGGTAGTTCCTTCCGTTCTCACAAAGCTTCACAGGGGGAAAAAAGTAGTTTTTTGTAAACATCACAACTAGATCTACACTTTTTTTTTTTCTTAGATCTACACTTTTAAAGAGTGGTTTCTTTTCCTTTCCCCTGACAGGTGTCACGGGTTCCTTGTGGATCTAGAGCAGCAGTTCTCAACCTGTGGGTTGTGACCTCTTGGGGTTGAACAACCCTTTCATCGGGGTAGCATACCAGATTTACATTAAGATTCATAACAGTAGCAAAATTACAGTTCTGAAGTAGCAATGAATATAGTTTAATGGTTGAGAAACACTGCTCTAGAGTTTAGTTTTTAATCTTCACATTCTTCCATCCTATCTTGTTCGATAAGCTTGATTTACACCACTTTATCATTATATCAGAAGTTTTTTTTTGAGCCAGACAGTGGTGGCACACACCTTCTATCCATCCCAGCACTTGGGAGGTAGAGACAGGATAGATCTCTGTGAGTTTGATGCCAGCCTGGACTACAGAGCTAGTTCCAGGACAGTCAAGGCTGTTTGGTACACAGAAAAACCCTGACTTGTGGGGAGGGGGAATTGAAGTTTTCTGAGTTAGCACACATCTTTAATCCCAGTACTCAGGAGATAGAGGAAGGTAGATCTATGAGTTGGAGGCCAGTCTAGTCTACATAGTGAGTTCCAGAACAGCCAGGACTGTATAGTGAGACCCTGTCTCAAACAAACAAAATTAACAAATGCTGGTACTAAAAAAAAAAAAAAAAAAAAAAAGCTTCTTCTTCTGGCCTTTAATTCCAGCACTCTGGGAGGCAGAGGCAGGCAGATCTCTGTGAGTTCAAGGCCAGCCTGGTCTACAAGAGCTAGTTCCAGGACATCCTCCAAAGTCACAGAGAAACCCCGTCTCGACCCCTCCCCCCAAGAAAAAAGTTTCTTTGGGCTGGGGAAATGGCTTAATCAATAAATAGCCTGCCATACAGGCATGTGAACCTGATCTTGGATTTCCAGCACCCACATAAAGGCTGGCCCTGAGGCCCTGTCTGCATCTGTAACCCCAGCACAGGGGCCACCAGAATACAGGTGGGTCACTGGTTTTCAGAGGCAAGCCTGTATAGCTGAACCTGAATCTGTGAGCTCCAGTGTCAGTTAGAGACACTGTCTCAAAAAGTAAGGAGAAGAGTGACTGAGAAAGACACCTGATGTCTATCTGATGACCACTGGCCTACACATACACACACACACACACACACACACACAATCACACACACAATCACACACACCAACAAAAGTTCTCAGAACCATGCCATAAGTCATCTCCTTCCAGTCCTGTTGGCTAGAGCTGGGCCATCAGATCCTCTCACTTCAAAGGAGATTAGGAAACCGTATTTGGCAAAGACAAACTGGACTCCCATGGCTGCTCAGGAGCAATCAAAGTTTTGTCCCCTGTGTGTGGAATTGTTCTCTCTGAGTTTGCAGGCAGGTTGTAATCAGGTAAGTGAATGAAAAGAAGAGAAAGGAAAGGACATGGCTGCTCCTAGGTATAGTAGAGAAGAGCATTTATTGTTGATGAACGGGAGACATAGTCAGAGGCAGATATCTGGGAGAGCCTAGAGTGGTGGGCATGATCCTGAGTCATGTAAGGAGAGGGAGAAGGGGGTGGGGAGAGAAGGGGGAACCAGGTGCAGCAGCCAGGAGCAGACAAAAGGGGACCAGGTAACCGAAGTGGTTGATTATAGAGGGAAGGGTAGGTATGGGAAGAGCAGATCAGCTGCTGGGTTGAAGAAGTTTAGAGCAGGCGGTGAGGAATGCAAGCCAAGAGGACCCTGTAACAGGTAGGGACTGAGGGATGCTGGGAAAACCTGGCAGCTAGGCCCGCTTTGATATGTTAAATAGGCACTTCAACCTTTTTGTTCCGGGTTTGAAACCTAACAGCAAGAAGTCCCTGACCAGTATAAACCATGTTACCAATGGTCCAAGGGCACAAATGTTCACACCCAGGCAAACAGCCTTACTGAGAACTCAGAAGCTGGGATGCTGGGCTCCAACTTTTGTCACAATCTCTTACAGTGCCCTTGTTTCCACATCAGTGCCCTGGAGGGAGTATGATGTCTCAATTCTCCTTCACATCTTTTAAAGTAGATGGCAGCCTGGGACCAGGCCTTCCTGCTACAAAGGGCTTGGTAGAATCTCTTCAACCCAGATTTGAGGCCCTCCTAAGAGACATACAAGGCCACCCTGATCTACCCTCCTCCAGTCCCAGCTTCTTTCGTCCATTTTTAACCCCTTAGGTTTTTCGAGACAGGATTTCTCAGTGTAACCCTGGCTATCCTGGAATGCCCTCTATAGATCAGACTGGCCTCAAACTCAGAGATCTGCCTGTCTCTGCCTCCCAAGCGTTGGGATTAAAGGTGCATTCCACCATGCCTGGCTTGCATCCATTTTTCTTTATCATTTATTTATTTGTAGGCAAGATTTTGATACACAGCTGTGGCTATCCTGGAACTCACTATGTAGACCAGGCTGGCTTCCAATTCATAAAGATTTGCCTGCCTCTGCCTCCTGAGCGCTGGGATTAAAGGTGTGCACCATCACGGCTGGCTCCTTGCACCGGTTTTCTGTCTACCTATTGCTGGTTCCTCTTCCGAAAGCATAAACATTTTCACTATTGGGAATGCATCATTATCTTCATTGTATAGATGACAAACCAGGCTTGAAAGGTTTATGTGTCTTCTCAAAGTCATAAAATTGTTCTGGTGAAAGCTTCACCCCAGCCCCTGGCATCCATCCATATAGCCAGAGAGTCTGGGATGTTCTGGTGGAAGTTCTACCCTAAGGCCCCTCTCCTATCTCTCTCCAAACCCTCTGCATCTCAGAAAGTCCACCAAATGATGACCCCCCCACACACACACACCCAGATGCTCAAGACCACTCCCACAGGGTACTTAAACTGTTCCCTCAGAAAACAGACTTATGGTTTTCTACTCTCTCGTTCCCATTTCCTCTCTGGGAGAGCTGGAAAACTATCCGGAAGCGTTGTACGCACTAAACGTGGGCTTTTTTCTAATGCGGTTTGATTTGGTCTAATTTGGATTGCTGCGTGCGTTGGTGGCGGCGAGGCTTACGGGGTGCAGAAACTTTTCAGAAACCTTGATGGTATCCCTAGGATTCGAGCCTGTGCAAAGCCGCTCAATTACTTCCAAAGCGATCCATCCGGGGTACTACTTTTCCCTCTGAACAATCTAGGTTGCCTCTTTATATTTGGCATAGGTTACCTCGTTACATCTGACACTAGAAAAATGCCAGTGGAAAACGCTGACTGGGGTCTTTTGAGCCTCGGCGGATCCGGGACTGACGCAAGCGGAAGTAGAAGGCCGCTGGCCGGAAGTGAGTTGTGGAGCGGTTGATGCTGCAGGGTTGTGTGTGTGTTGACTTTCAGTCTGCGGCCTGGGACTGGCTCTGGGGAGCTCCCTTTAGGGCCCTCAGGTGAGTGGGCTGCCGGGGAGGACCATACTCGGCTTACTGCCTGCCCCACCGGGCGGGCGGCGCGCTCCGTCTCCCTGGTTCTCCCGGGCCTGCCGCGCGGAGGCGGTGCTTCCCAGCCGGAGCCCCTCTCAGTATCTGGGCCACCCTCGGCGCTCCAGGCTGCTGTGACTGTGGGCGAAAGACTTCTCTGAAAGCGCTTTTGACCCCTTGTGAAGTGGAGATCGTGTCTGTACGTGTCTCACAGGGCTGTGACGATACCTTCTGCTCCGCCCCTCTCCACAGTCTGGCGTGCACGCAAAGCCCTTGGAAAGTGACTTAGCCGGTCTTGGGTGGGTCCCGGGAGTCGATGTTTCTTTTTCTTTTATTTCTTTCTGGAGTGTTTCGAGACACGGTTTCCCTGTGTAGCCTGGCTGCCCTGGAACTCACAGAGATCCACCTGCCTCTGCCTCCCAAGTGTCGGGATTAAAGGCGTGCTCCCGCACCGCCCGGCGGAGTCGGGCTTGGGATGGGGTGAGGTAGTGGGACCTATTCCTTCATTTTTTAGCAGTCCCTGGTTGTACGAGCCCAACTCGAGGTAGTAGTGTTTTCCTCCCTTTCTGTTCAAATCTTGACATCTCTTTGCTCTGATTCTAGGAACTTTGGACAGGAGCCTTTATACTTTGTACATTCATGAGTCTTCTTGGGGGCTTCATTGTTCACTCAGTGTGGACATCTGGGCATTGATTGCCTCATCCTCATCCTGTGGAGTTCCTATCTGGGTACTTCAGTGTCAGAGATAACTGGTATTCCGTGCTCATATTTTCTATACTTTGCCCACAGTGTGAGTACTCAGAAAGTGCTCTTCTAGAATTAGGTTCTTAGGCCTGCTGCCCTCAGTTGCCACAGGCTAGCCCTAGGTGACCAGTTTAAAATCTGAAGACTACTCCTTGCTTCATAGAGCTGAGAAAGTGGGGTCATTTTGGCAGTTATGCGGGTCTGCTGTATCTGTGTGTCTTCCACACTTAGTGGGTTGTTATTTTCCGCTCCCCAATGAAGCCTTGGCTTTCATTGTGTAAATAAGCCAACTTAATTTTTTTTTTCTTTATTTTTATTTTATGTATATGGCGTTTTGCCTTTGTGCTTGTCTGTACGCCATGTGGAGGAGGCCAGAAGAGGACATCGGATCTGCTGGAACTTGATTTATAGTTGGTTGTGAGCCAAAGTGTGGACTAGGAATCAAACCCTGATCCTCTGGGAGAGCAGTCAGTGCTCTTAAACATTTAGCCATCTCTCCTGCCAATAAGTCAACTTTTTTGTTGTTGTTATTTTTTCGAGATAGGGTTTCTCTGTGGCTTTGGAGGCTGTCCTGAAACTAGCTCTTGTAGACCAGGCTGGTCTCGAACTCACAGAGATCCACCTGCCTCTGCCTCCCCAGTGCTGGGATTAAAGGTGTGCGCCACCACCGCCTGGCATAAGTCAACTTATATATAAAGGAATTCTGGCCAGGAGTGGTAGTGCATATCTTTAATTCCAGCACTCAGGAAATAGAGGAAGCACATCTCTGTGAGTTTAAGGCCAGGCAGGGCTATAGTAAGACTCTGCACTCTCCCACCCCACTTAAAAAAAAAAAGGGGAAATCTGAAGTTTCTTACTTTGAAACCTCAAAAATAGGAAAAACAGGTAAAAAAAACAACAATAAAAACCCAAGTGTTTGGTTGTATGTGACTGGAGTTATTGTTGGGAATTTTCTCTCATGACTGTGTGGATTTTTATATTTATCTTTACCTGACTGCTCTTTAGCCATTCTTGCCTATAATCCAATCACACAGGAGTTCAAGGCCTGCCTCTACTGGCTACTATTAGGGCTGAAGTGCCTGTTTAGCATATCATATCACTGGCTGCCGGGTTCTACCAGCAACTCTCAGTACCTGTTAGAGAGTCATCCTGGCTGTCATACCCTGCTTTTACCCTAAACTCTCCAGCCCAGGAGCTGGGCTTCCGTTCCCCCAGCTTCTCTGATTCCTACATATCTTCAGCCATTTTGACTACCTGCCCTTTTGCTAAGGGCCCCTTTGCCTCTTGGCCACTGCCCTTAGTGCCCATTCTCCTGACCTCTTTGTAATCATAACTCTGCCTGCTTCAGGGCCCCCAGATAACACACAGAGTCTTATGTTAGTTACACTGTTGCTGGCCAATGACTAGGATTTCTTATTTGCTAGCTCTGTCTTAAGTATCAACCATAACTATTAATCTATATATTTTATAAGGACTTATCTTATTGAGGACGCCGGACATGTGTATCCTTTCCTCCCGGGATCACATGGCGATCTCCCTTTATTACATTTCCCAGAATCCTCCTCTCCCAGTCCTGCCTAACTTGCTTCCCTGTTGGCCAACAGTGCTTTATTTATCAACCAATAAGACAAACATACACACAGAAGGACCTCCCCCATCACCTCTTGGCTTCTGCCTCCCTCTCCCACATGGCCCGGTGCAATCTGTCCACCATGTTCACCCTGGACTCTTCCAGATGCCTCTCCTCATGCTCTCTTTCATATTTACAATAATCCTCAACCCATACCTAGGAGCAGTCATGTTGTAGTTTACCCTCATTCAGTCTAGGATACATGAGACCCTGTCTTTTTTTTGTTGTTTGTTTTATGGAGACAGGGTTTCTTTGAAACACTATTTCTTTGGGTGGCTCTGGCTGTCCTGGAGCTCCACCTATAGACCTGGCTGGCCCCAAACTCAAAGAAATCCACCTGCCTCTGCCTCTTGAGTGTTGGATTAAAGACATGTGCCACCACTGCCCAACTGAGACCCTGTCTTTTTTTTAAAAAAAAAAAAAAAAAAAGGAAGGGAGGAAAAAGGGATGGTTTGTGCTAGATTTGGGCTTCCCTTCCCCCAGCTTTGATTTTTGTTTTGGTTTAGCCCATAGACCCTTGTCTTATGCACTTGTGCCTTAACCTTCTTAGACTACTGGTAGACTCTGCTCCTATGTGGGAACAAAAGGGAAGAAATGTCCTAGTTAACATCTCACTGACAGCTTAGGATCCTTACTGTCAGTTTATAAGCCTTTGTTTTTGGTAGACTTCCATCAGGAGACTTTAGCTCCTAGAAAAAAGTTAGGGACTAAGGCTAGAGTAAGCCTAGTATTTATGAAGCCCTGAGTTTGATTATTAGCACTGCAAAAAAAGAAAAGACAATATGAACCGGGCAGTGGTGGCACACACCTTTAATCCCAGCACTCAGGAGGCAGAGGCAGGCTGATCTCTGTGAGTTCGAGGCCAGCCTGGTCTACAAGAGCTAGTTCCAGGACCAAAGCCACATAGAAACCTTGTCTCGAAAAACCAAAAAAAAAAAAAAAAAAAAAAAAAAAAAAAAAGATAGACAGAGAGAGAGAGAGAATCAGTAGTTGGTAATTTGTATATACTAAATGTGTCATATAATTTAATTGATTCACAGTTACCATGGATGCACTTTTCTGCCTGGTTCCCTTTTTCTAACTTCTGGACTGTGGTTTAAGATGGCCTTGCTGAGGCATGTATCTGGAAGATAGAAAGGTAAGATTCCTGGATTCTATATTATCACATTGTTCTGGGTAGTTGAGCAGTACCTTTTGGAAATTCCAATGCTCTGAAACTGCTGTGGTCTATTAGCACCCTAAAGAGGAGATAGAGAAGAGGATATGTTTAGAAAATTTAAATTAGGCAGGGAGCTTAGTGTAGTGAAGTCAGGTTGGACCCTGTAAGGAGCCAGCAATTAATTAGTTTCCAGGTTTCTTGTTTGTACTCTGGGAACCCTTGAGGAAATAAGAATTAACTAACTCTCTGTCCACCTATTTTCTCTACCTGTCAGTACCTGTCTCCTCTGCAACACTCTTCCTACTGTCTTACTCTTCTTCTCCCTTTTGCTGTGTAGCCCTGGCTAGCTGGGAGCTTGCTGTATAGACCAGGCTGGCCTCAGAACCACAGAGCTGCTCCTGCCTTTCTAGTACTGAGATTAAAGTAATGCACCACTAGGCTGGCTTTTTGTTGTTGTTTTGACTTTTCTTTTTTAAAAAAGATTTATTTATTAATTATACATATAGTGTTCTGCCTGCATGTGTGCCTGCACGCCAGAAGAGGGCACCAGGTCTCATTACAGATGGTTATGAGCCACCATGTGGTTGCTAGGAATTGATCTCAGGACCTGGCTTTTCAAGAGAGGGTTTCTCTATGTAACAGCCCTGGCTGTCTTGGAACTCACACTGCAGACCAGGCTGGCCTTGAACTCACAGATCCACCTACCTCTGCTTCAAAAGTTCTGGGACTAAAGGCCTGGACCACCACGCCTGGTTAGACTTGGCTGTTTTGTTTTTGAGACAGGGTCTCATATATCCAAGCCTGGCTTCAAAGTCAGTAGATAATTAAGGATGACCATGACTCCTGCCTCCACCTCACAAGTGCTAGGATTACAGGCATGCATCACCACACCTCTAGCACATGTATTTTGTAAATTTAATTTTTGTTAAAGTTACGCATGTTTGTGATTTAAATAGTTCAATAGAGCTTGTAACACTCTGTTCTTTCCATTTTCCTCCTCCATTTTTGTTCCCCAAAATCGTTTTCAACAGTCTGTTCCTTCCTGCACCTATTGGTTTATTTCTTTTTCTTTGAGGTTTGATCCAGTATTATAGCAACATGATTAAGAGAAGTTTTAGAGCAGCTCTTTCATATTACACATTTGTATTGCTCTTTCTTCCTGTTTTCATGAGGTACTAGGCAGTGAACTCAGGGCCTCAGTATGGTAGTCAATGGACAAATACTGAGCTACACTCATGGGCATGGGCCCTTTTTATTGTTTCCGTTTTTAGTTTTATTTTATGTATATGAGTGTTTTGCCTAAATGAATATATGTGCACTACATGCTTGCTGGTACCCATGGAACTCAGAAGAGGGCATCAGATCTTCTGGAGCTGGAATTATAGATCGTTATTAGCCACCATGAGGGTATTGGGAGTAGAACCCTGGTCCTCCAAAAGAGCAGCAAGTGCTTTTAACCACATTGTTGTTTTGAAACTGGGACTCACTAAGTTGCCCAGGTAGAATTTTGTATCCTAGCTCAGCCTCCTGAGTACCTGGGATTTCAGGTATGAGCCATCGTATAGCTAGTGTTGCCTACCCTCCATCCCTCCCTCTCTTTGTTTTGTTTGATTTTGAAACAGACTCTTAATTTTTTTTTTTTTTTTTGATTTTTGAAACAGGGTTTCTCTGTGGCTTTGGAGGCTGTCCTGGAACTAGCTCATATAGACAAGGCTGGTCTCGAACTCACAGAGATCTGCCTGTCTCTGCCTCCCAAGTGCTGGGGTTAAAGGTGTGTGCCACCACCACCTGGCTCAGACTTTATTTATGTATATGTGTATGTGAGTAAGTGCCATGTGTATGAGTGTGCCTGCAAAGGCCAGCAAGGTTATCACATCCCTTGGAGGTACAGTTACAGCTGAACTGAACTCAGATCTTCTGGAAAAAGCGGAAAGTTTTCTTAATCAAGGAGTTATCTATACAGCCCCTCCCCCCTTTTTAAAAAAAAAAATTGGAAACAAGATCTCAGTATAGACCATGTTGGCATCAAACTCATGATCTTCCTGCTTCAGCCTCTTAAGTGCTGAGGTTATATGCACCACTACGCCTATAGTGTATACCTGTATACCTGGCAATAATTTCTGTTGGTGTTATTACTGGGTTATTTTTCTGTTTGTTCATCCCTAGATTATCCATTAGAAGTTCTTTCCCAGATATCGCCCATCTATTTTGTTCAATATGAACTGATTGTTCTTTTTATCTGCTTGCAGTTCTTGCCCTGAGATCTTTCCTCTATTTTGAGTTTTCTCTTTTTTTCTCTCCTGTGTTGAACTCTTAAGTATTTTTGTTTATCCGTTGTTATTTTGGAAAGATAGGCTTTTATTTAGTTTAGTCTAGCTTTGAACGTGTGTCAATCCTGTCTGAGTCTCTTAAGTCCTTGGGTTATAATTATGTATAGTTATACATACTATACATACACCCCACCTAATTTAAAACTAACTCACTCTCCCACTTTCCTGAGTTAGGGTCTCATTGCATAGCTCTGGCTGGCCCAGAACTTGCTATATAGACTAGGTTGGCTTCAAATTTAGATTGATATATCTGCCTCTTTCTCACCAGTACATTAAAGGCATGTGTTATTATATCCAGCATCTTAAAACTCTTAATTCTTCTTTTTAAAATTTCCTTTAAATTTATTTTATTTTACAGGTAGAAAGGTTTTTGCCTGCACGTATGTATCTGCACTGTGTGCATACCTGGTGCCCTCAATGTTCACAAAAGGGCATCAGATCTCAGGAACTGGAGTTGTAAGTCCCCATGTGGGTGCTGGGAAATGAGCTAGGGTCCTCTGCAAGAGCAAGTGTTCTTACTAGCCCTTAAAACTGTTTGTTTATTTACTTATTTTGTTTTTGTTTTTTGGTTTTTTTTTTTTGTTTTTTTTTTGTTTTGTTTTTTTTTTTGAGACAGGGTTTTTCTGTGTAGCCTTGGCTATTCTGGAACTCACTCTGTAGATTAACCTGGCCTTGAATTCAGAGATCTGCCTGCCTCTGCCTCCCAAGTGCTGGGATTAAAGTTGTGTGCCTCTTCTTTTTTAGAATTATTTTATTTCATGTGCCTGCATGTATGTCTATGTACCAGGTTCATGCAGTGCCCATACAGCCCAGAGGAGGGCATTAGATCCCCTGGAACTGGAATTACAGATGGTATGAGCCATGTGGGTTTTGGGAATCAACACCCATTCCTGAAAGACTGTTCTGCTTAAGCAGTCAACCGCTCTGGAATAGCAGCCAATGCTCTCAATTGCCGTGCCATCTCTTTAGCCCCTCAGCCCCTAGAACTCTTAATTTTTCCATCTCAAGTATCTCTTGCCAACTTTTGGGTCTTCAGTTAATGATACTCTTTCTTTGTAGAATGTTCTGCAATATCCATTCTTTCATATAGTTGTCAGTTTTTGAGACTTCTCTCTTTTTTTTTTTTTTTTGTTTTTCGAGACAGGGTTTCCCTGTGGCTTTGGAGGCTGTCGTGGAACTAGCTCTTGTAGATCGGGCTGGTCTTGAAATCACAGAGATCCGCCTGCCTCTGCCTCCCAAGTGCTGGGATTAAAGGCATGCGCCACCAACGCCCGGCTCTTTATTTTTTTTTATAAGTAGGGTGAACTAACTATAGTGGTAACTAGAACACTAGGATGTGATAGGTAGGAGATGCTCTTGAGCTGATCATATATTAATACTCTAGATTCTGGCATCTGGAAATCTGGGAGAGTAGCTTCTTCAGCCCTGCTCCCAGATCTGGACCTCTCCTTTGTGAATTGTATTGCTACCTGCGGGGCCTGGCTTGTATTAGTCCCACGCTACAGATGCTATCTATTCCGGACTGATGTCTTTGGGGCTGCGATTTAAGCCAGCCGAATGGTCCCAGGTCCATCCCTGAGTCGGAGAGTGCTGGACTGGGAAACTCCTAGCTACCCAATGGTGATAAAAGATGAGACACAGACATCTTGTCATTTCAGGAGGGCTCTCAGTCTATGCTGGAGTCTGGAGTCCACGGTTTGTTCAAGCATCCTCTTAAATAGCTTTCCAACAGTGGGGTTGACCACAGAAGACATCTACTATCATGTATATAGCTGATATCAAATAATTCGTTTAATCCTAGAGACATCCCTAAACAGTCCCTAGGCATGAAAACAAGCCCTCAGAACAGGTGCTGGTGCACCCAGGGCCTAGGTCTGTTGTTATGCAAACTAGGAGACTTTCTCCACTGAGGCCAAGCCATCCAGCGGTAATTAGCCGGACATCTGAAAGACAATGGGAGATTTGAGCTCCTGGGATAGAGTTTGAGGCCTGTATCTGGAATACCATAATTGATATTTTTCGGGCCGACAGCTACCTCTGCATACTAGTAGTGTGGCCTTTGGAGTCTTTGACAGCAAGCTCCATTCCATTTTTTGGTTCTGTTACCATATATGAAAGATTTTTTTTTTTCTTGTGAGAATTTCCTTTATCTTGTAAAATCTCTTATTCATAAATAATACTGAAATAATAAACCTACCTTACAGAAGTATTGTTAGAATGAGAATTAAGCGGGGTGTGGTGGCACTTGGGAGGCAGAGGCAGAACTCTTCCAAGTTCCAGACCTGCCAGAACTACATAATGAGATCCTGTCTCAAAAAACTAAAGGGAAACTCTGTCTCGAAAAAACAAAAAACAAACAAAAAACCAAAAAACCCAAAAAACAAAAATCCTCCCCCCAAAAACCTAAAGGGATATGGGGGTTGGTTCATGTCAAATAGTTCATTTAGCCTCTGAGCCTTGAAGGGAGACTAATGAGAGGAGAAAGGGAGAAAGACAGATTGCATGTTGTCTCATGTGCAGAATTTAGACTACACATGAAAGTAGGGGTGGTACTTGGGAGATGGCTCAGTGAATAAAGTGCTTCACCCACATGTCTGAGGGCTCAAGTTTGGATTCCCAGAACCTTGAATAAAAAACTGGATATGATGTGTCATGTGCCTGTAATCCTAGCCCTCCTGGGAGGTGGAGACTGGAAGATCCCCAGGGCTCATTGGCCAGTCTAGCCAATTGTGACCTTCAGATTCAGTAACAGATCCTGTCTCAAAAATAAAGTGATGAGCTATTGAGGAAGACATCACATTGACCTCTTGTCTCCACGTGTGTATAGCACACACCATAGTAAAAGCAGAATGGGGACAAGAAACTATAGTGGAGGGGTGTGAATCTCAGCAGTATAGAGTGATGTACGTATATGGACATGTCATAAATAAAACCCATTCTTTTGGGTCATTGAGATGGCTAAAGGCACTTGTCACCAATCCTGGCAGTCTGACTTCAGTCCTTAGGACCCTTGTAGTAAAAGAAGAAAACTGACTCCTGCAAGTTGTCTTGTGACCTTCACACATGTGCCATGGTATGAGTGTCTCCACATACACAAACACACACACATTAAGTAAATAGTTGTAAAAATAATTATGTCTTAAAAATTTAAAAACCTGTTGTTCACTAACACAGATTTTAATTAGGAAAAGAAAAAAAGACAGCATTGGTACAGAAGAGGTCCCAAGACAGTTGGGGCTCTTGTTATTTCCATCTTAGAACTTTATTTATTTTTTTGTCTTTGTTTTGAGACGGGCTTTCATGTAGCCATGGCCTTCTATTTACTTATTTTATGTGTGTGGGTGTTTTGTTTGCATATATGTCTGTGTACTATGTGCATGGAGAGGCCAGAAGAGGGTATTGACCCCCCTGGGACTGGAATTATATAGATGGTTGTGAGCCACCATATGGCTGGAAATTGAATCCTGGATCTTCTGGAAAAACAGCCAGCACTCTTAACTGATGAGCCATCTCTCCAGTCCAGCCTCCTCCTCCTCCTCCTCCTCTTCTTCCTTCTTTCTTCTTCTTTCTTCTTTCTTCATCTCTCTTCTTTCTTCTTCTTCGAGACAGGGTTTCCCTGTGGCTTTTGGCGGCTGTCCTGGAACTCGCTCTATAGACCAGGTTGGTCTCAAACTCACAGAGATGATCCACCTGCCTCAGCCTCCTGAGTGCTGGGACTAAAGGTGTGTACCACCAGTGCCTGGCGCCTTCTTTCTTAAGACAAAAGTCTCAGTATGAAGTCATGGCTAAACTAGAACTATGTAGACAATGTTTGCCTCAACTTAGAGAGATCCTTCTGCCTCTGCTTTCTGAGTGCAGAGATTACAGGTGTGTGTCACCTGTCTAGTTATTGAGGTAATTTTCTTTCCTTACCCCCTTTTTTTCTTTTGTTTTTGTTTGTGTTTTTGAGACAAGATTCTCTCTCTCTTTTATTAATTTATTTTTACATTCCAATCCTAATTCCTCCTTCCTCCTCTCCTCCCACTCCCTCTACTCTCCCCACCACCTCCCATCTACTCCTCAGAGAGGGTAGGACCTCCCCTAGGAATTCACTAAGTCCATCTCATCATCTCATTGAGCAGGGCCAAGGCACCTCTCTATCCCCACACCCCTGTGTCTAGACTGGGCAAGGTATCTGTCCATATAGAATGGGCTCTACTATTCAGTTTGTGTATTAGTGTTAGATCTTGGACACACTGCCAGTGGCCTCATATATTGTCCCAGTCACAACTTTATCACCTATATTAAGGGAATCTAGTTCAGTCTTATGCTGGTTCGCCATTTGTCAGACCTGAATCAGTGAGCTCTCACTAGCTCCAGTCAGCTGTTTCTGTGGGTTTCCCCATCATGATCTTGTCTCCTTTGTTCATATTATGGCTTCTCCCTCACTTTGATTGTACTCCAGGAGCTTAGCCCAATGGTTATTTGGAGACAAGATCTCTTTATATAGCCCTGGCTGTCCTAGAACTCTGTGTAGACAAGGCTGGCCTTGAACTCAGAGATCCCCCTGCCTCTGCCATTCAAGTGCTGGGATTAAAGCTGTGCACCACCATACTTGGTTTATAAAGGTAATTTTTAAAAATGTTTTCTATATTTATTTCTTTTTATATGTATGAATGGTTTGCCTTGCATGTATATGTTTGTGTGCTGCATTCATGCCTAGTGCCCACAGAAGCCAGAAGAGGGTGTCAGATCCCTGGAACTGGATTTGGTTGTGAGCCACCATACAGGTGTTGACAACTGACCCTGGGTCCCCTATTAGACCTGCAAATGCACTTAACCACGGAGACATCTCTGTCTCATAGGGAAGTAATTTCTTAAATTATTGTTTATAGGCCCAAGGATACAGCTCACTTGGTCAAGTACTTGTTTAGCATGCAGGAAGCTCTGGGTTCAGTCCCCAATACCTCATCCAACGGGCATTGTAGCACACACCTGCAGCTCAAGCACTAGGATAGGAGGCAGGAGACTCAGAAGGTCAGGCAGTCCCCACTACATAGTGAATTTGATACTAGCCTGCACTGTTCCACTCATTCTTAGAAAACAAACAAATAAAAAACTATAAAAATTACCATTTATAAACTAGATATGGCAGCACATGCCTGTAATAAGGAGTGGAGGCAGGAAGATCATAGGCTCAAGGCCAGTGTGGGTTTTGAAACTCTGCCTGGGGAACAAAAACAAAACAAAATAAAAAAACAACTATAGATACAATTTAAAAGTAAACAGAGAATTTGTTGTTAATTGATACGTTCTTTCATATTAGTAGTTTTAGTCACAAATAACTAGTGATCTGTATCAGGGGACTGTGAACTTTTTCCATAAAGAGCTAGATAAGAAACACTTGTTTTACAGCTGTACAATCTCTGAGACAGTTACTCAGTTCTTGTATTGAGAAAGCCAACACAGACATTAGATATGTCCAGAAAAAACTTTATTTATGGAAATCAGGTACAGGGTTTAATTTGGGCCCAAGGATGTAGCTTGTGACCACCTGAGCAGTTGAAGCTGGGCACGTTAAACACCAAATGTAGTACCAGGTATGGTGGCACATGCCACATTAGGGACTTGGAGGCAGGTAGATCTCTAAGTTCAAAGTTCATCCTAGTCTACCTAGTGACTACCAGGACCACATAGTGAGATCCTTCCTGTCTCAAAAAAAGGAACCCAGTGTATAAAGATTTACCATGAAATTAAAACATACTTTGCTGTCACCCAGAGAAAGAAGCCTGGTAGGCAGAATAAAACCTTTTGGCCTGCCCTTCAGTCCTGGCTCCTTATGGACTCTGGTAAAAAGAGGCTGAGTGAAAAAAAAGAAACAGAGAAGGAAAGGACTTTACCGGTCCTAGATTTCGGCACCAGATGAACAACAAATAAATAAGTAAGTAAATAAGAAAGGACATTGTAGAGGGATGTAGTCAGACTGAGAGTGAGATGCAGAGTCGTGAGAAAAACATACAGACTTCTTACTCTATTCTTTTTGGTTTCAATCTTCTACCCTGATGTTCCCTTCTGTATCTTTCTTGATGACTTCCTTCTAACTATTTCCTGATGTCTTCTTTCTTCATCTTTCCTTCTATATCTTTCTTAGTGTTTTCCTTCTCTCATGTCTTAATTTTTTTCCTTACAGCAAAATTTCTCAAGCAGTATAAAAATTACAATGTGGTTACATTCTATTTTTCATGTGAATGATTACAATGAATACAAGTAAAAAACAACATGTTTTCCATATCCTTTACATGATTAAACATTTTATGTATTACAGGTGAAAAATGAGTTGTCCCAAGAACCCACATACATTCACACCCAAGCAGTTCGTTATAGATTAACAGTGTAAGCAAGCAAGGTGTTTTTATTAGCTAGATCCTTTGCTGGCAGGCTGCATTTGTTAGTTACAAAGAAAGAATCAATCACTTTAGAAAGTGATTATCAATCACCTTATAATTATAATTACCTTATAATATAAGATTACCTTATAAAAGATTACCTTATAATCTTATAAAGAAAGGTAATCTTATAAAAAAGTCTTAAAGGAATTTTAAATCTAAACTTTTATATATGAAATCCTCAGGGTGCATACCCACTCATCAACAGTTTTTTTATTAAATCATATCAGGAAGCTGAGGGCAGAAATGTGATAAGGAATTAATCATTACCTTTGATCACCAACTTATCCGAGCCAGCAATAGCCCCGTTGCCATTGTTTTGTTCCCTGACCTCTATGAGTGTCTTGTTCAACTATTTGTTTTTCTAAACTTTAAATTGTCCCCAAGATTTTCTGCCTCAAAGCCATTAACAAAAACACCTTAACCTAACCTTATTAACAATTGTACATGTCTAAATTCTTTCTAAAGATGGTGGTTGAATCATTAATCTGCTCTAGCAGCAATGCTTGGAAAAAGTCAATCACTATTATAATAATAAGTACCAATAACATTGCTCAGTGAGGTTCCAGAAACCCCATCAGAGTTTTCATACAACACATAGGTTATGAGGATGTGGTGACCATGAAGGCAACAATCAGAGCTATGCTGAATAACAGCATGAGGTCCTCAGGACACATAGTCAGTCCTCAGGGAGTTGCCTCTCCAAAGATCATTCATGCATGGCTTTGCCAACAGCCCAGCCATGTTCCATGAGTTCCAATGCGGCCTGTTGGTACCCTTGCATAGCCCTGGACAGGACATGACTGCTCCCAGGTATGGTGGAGGAGAAAGTTTACTGTGGATAAAAAGGGAGAGTGTTGCCAGAGGCAGAGACATCTGGAGGAGTCCAGAGTGGACATGACCCTAAGCCATGTGAGGAGACTGAGATAGGAAAGGAGAAGGGAGAAAGGGAACCTGGTGCAGCAGCCAAGAGGGCAAAAGATATAAAGAGCGGGTAACCAGAATGTCTGGATGATATAGGGAAGAGCCTCTGGGGGGAGAGGGCAGCCAGCCATGAGCACCCTGTAACAGGTAGGGACTAAGGGATGCTAGGAGAACCTGGTGGCTAGGCGTGCTTTGATATATTAAATAGGTACCTCAGTCATTTGTCCAGGGTTTGAGACCTAACAGGCTAAAAGCAGAGAGGAAGAGATTTCAGAAGATCATTTCATGGAAATTTTGCAGCAATAACCTTGTATGGTCTGTTGATTGGCTGCTCACATGTCCTTGGAATTTGCTAGTAAGTATGAAAAAAAAACATTGAAGAAAGAAAGAATATGGACTGGAGCGATTGCTCAGTGGTTAAAAGCACTGTTGCTCTTACAGAGGACGACAGTTCAGTTCCCAACACCTATATGGTAGTTAATATACGAGACTCCAGTCCCAGAGGACACAACACCTTTGTTTTTTTCAAGAGGAGGTAGAGGAATATGGGAGACCCAGTTTCATGGCCTGCTCATTTTTTTTCCCCGTGGGAGGAAAAATGGAAATTGTACTGCTTCCAGCCAAGTGAGTATCTAGTTAGTGCTTGATTCAGTGGCAGCATTGCCAATCTGCCTCTCCCCGAGGAGACCTGTGCTGTCCCTTGGCCTGTCAGCAGACAGTCATATGAACTGTGGGATTCCTTGTACCTTGAAGCACAGCTTTGAGTGGCTGTTTTCTACTAGGGACCAATGGTGATCAGGCTTCTGAACTTTGATTCCCCCCATTCCCATTCACGAGTTTCTGAGTATGCATCCCAGGTCCTGATTATCTGTACTAGTGGTCTAAATTCTGTTGTAAGCAATCTGGAAGTGGGTGTGATGGCACCCATCTGTAATCCCAGCATCTAGCAAGTAGACTGAGGCAAGAATGTCATGAATTGGAGGCCAGCCTAAGCTCAGAAAACAAAGCAGCCTAAAGAGGACAGTTGTCCTTTTCTAAGAGGAATAGTGCCCAAACCGCCAGGCTCTATAATTAAGTTTGTACTGTAAGAACTGTGAGGGTTACTGTCATTATAATTAATTAAAGTTTGTGCCTGCTTTAAGCAAATTAAGGGACTGGAGAGATGTTTCGACCTGCTGAGAAGCTGAGATTATTGTCCTCCTCCTTGACGCCAGCATTAAAGTTTCCCAAAGCTGTGCCTGGAGTTCAGGATTTCTCCTGTGTTTTCTTCATGTTTTCTAAAATGGAAGTCCTCATTATTTAGATTTTGTTGGCTAGTCTTAGTTCCTGATCCTTCCTACCGTAAAGAGTCATTGCAGAGTTGTGTTGGTACCTTCTGCTAAGTTTTGTCAGTCAGAGTACTACTCTTGCATAATCCTCTCTTAACCCTAGCATATTTTCATTTTAAAACTGAACTTCAGCCAGATGTGGTGGTCTATGTCTTTTATCTCAGCACTTGGGAGACAGAGACAGGAAGATCCCTCTGAGTTTGAGGCTGGTTTACAAAGTGACCAAGGCTAGGACCGCCAAGACTACACAGTGAGACACTTTTTTTTTTTTTTTAAGATTTTATTTATTATGTATACAGTCTTCTGCCTGCCTGCCTGCCAGCAGAGGGCACCAGATATCATTAAGGTGGTTGTGAACCACCACATGGTTGCTGGGAATTGAACTCAGGACCTCTGGAAGAACAGTCTTAACCGCTGAGCCATTTCTCCAGCCCGAGACACTGTTTTAAAACAACAACAACAAAAACTGAACCTAGAAGAATAGAATCACAAAGTGCCTGTTATGGGCTGGAGAAATGTCTCAGCAGTTAAGAGCACTGTTTGCTCTTCCAGAGGCTCTGAGTTCAATTCCCTGCACCCACATAGCTGTTCTCTGTCATTCATAATTGTAGTCCCATGGAAGCTCATGCCCTCTTCTGGTGTGCAAAACACCCATACACGTAAATAAATAAACAACAACAAAAAAAGCTTAAAAGAACAGTGATTTTTGTTTTTTGTTTGTTTGTTTTTTGCACTTTGAGAGAACCTGAGCTCAGTTCCCACCACCCAAGTCTAGTGGCTCACAAGTGCTTGTAACTCCAGCTCCAGAGGATCCAACTCTCTTTTCTGACCTCAGATACCAATCACACAACTAGTGCACAGACATACATGCAGACAAAACATCCATACACATCAAATAAATGTTGAAAAATAAAGCAAATCTCCTATTTTCCTTTATACTATTAACACAGCAGCTTTTACAAGTGTTCTTATTCTCCAGAGGACTCATACATGTTGATAGTAAAAAATGGAATGACTTGCCTACTTGTATCCCCAGCTTCCTTTTGGAAATCTGCCTTCCCCATCCTGTCCTTCCCTACAAGGAAGTGAGTTTATGTCAAGTAGCAGTTTAGAAACCACATAATACTGCTTCTGGTGTGAGGTTTTCTTGTTTGCAAAGCACAATTTGTCCTTCACACTTGATGCTTGTGCTTTGGGCATTCGAAAACATTAAACATTTGCATGGACAGTGGTCCAACCTGCATCTTTATATCTCTTTTTTCCTTTTGTCTTTTGAGATGGGGCCTCACAAGATAGTCCTGGCTGGCCTGAAACTCCAATAGCTCCTCTTGCCTCTACCTCCTAAGCATTGCTACTAAAGGGTGTGTGCCACCACACCTGGCTGCACCTATTTCTTATAATGTGTAAATTTTGTATTATAGGTAGAAGCCACTCATTCTTCATCTACCCTTTTTTCAGTATCTGGCACCAATTCTGGCCCCATCATTTGTGGCCCACGACTCTTGTGGTATGCCGAAGATTCACAGGCAGTTTCTGTGGAACATCTCCCTGTCCGTCTCTAATCAAGTACCATATAAACAAGAACTTGCCTAGTCACACGTGTGAGGACTGTCCTCTGACTGCCAAAAAGATCAGTACAGGCTCCAGAATGGCAGCCACTCTCAAGTTGTTAAAACTTTTAAAATATCAAGCATCTTGTAATCCTTCTGCCTACTGTGCAGCCCAAAGCATGGCATATTGGAATATGAAAAACAGCACACATCATGGGGGACAGAACCTTCCTGAACGTAATAGCTCCTGCCATCCTGCCAGAGAAGTTAAGAACATTGGTAATACCACCTTGTCACAGAGAATCTGCTCAACCGGCAGTGCCCACCTGAGTTTGGAATTCAACAAAGCTTCTACCCTTAAGGCCAGCACATTGCATCCAGGCTCACCCTCTACCAAAAGAGTTGGTAAAGAGGATGTAGAGTATTTTGATTCCTTCGAAGGAACCCGAGTGTTCTTAAAGCTAAGGCCAGAGTACCAGCTTCACAGCTATAACAGATCCGAGACTCACCAGCCCCTGTCTGTTTCAGAAGGTGAACTAATTTTGCACAAAGTCAGAGTTCATCAAAATAAACTGCAGCCAGAAGTCATTACTACTTATTTTTGTAAGCTGAGCTCTCTGCCAGTGGAACAGCATTCTGTTGTGCTGTCCAGTAACAGCTTTGCTTTGCTCTGCCAACTGAGTGTGAAAAACATGCAACTCTTTACTACCTCAGATCTGATCAGTATTTTGAAAGCCTTTGTTGATTTAAGAATACCTCTCTCCCCTTCAATGCTGAATGTGTATGAAACCAGATTTTGCCGTCAGGTGTGGGAGATGAATCTGGATCAGCTTCTCTTGGTCGCTGATCTCTGGCGGAACTTAGGCCACAGAGTGCCTCGTTTTTTAAATTTTTTTTTTAGTTACCTTCATTTACACTGGAAAGAGCTATCCTTGTCTCAACTGATTCACTTAATTTATATAATAGGTGAAAATCGTCAGGTACCACAGGACCTAATGCAAAAACTAGAATCACTGATCCTTAAGTATTTTGATCTGATAAATTTAGAGGAGGTTGGTACAATCTGTTTGGGGTTTTTTAAATCAAGTAGTAATCTCTCTGAATTTGTCATGCGGAAAATTGGAGATGTAGCTTGTGCTAACATGCAGCATCTCAGCAACCACACCTTAGTTCACATTCTTAAAATGTTCCGCTTTACTCATGTAGATCATGTGAATTTCATGAGGCGGTTTGGAGAAATTGCTCCTCAGCGAATCCCTTCTTTGGGGGTTCAGGGTGTTATGCACCTCACTCTTGCCTGCTCCGCCTTACGCTTCCTGGACGAAAGAGTAATGAATGCAGTAGCTGCCTCTTTGCCTCCAAGGGTAACACACTGTCGAAGTAAAGATGTTGCCAAAATTCTGTGGTCATTTGGAACCCTGAACTATAAACCACCCAACACAGAAGAATTTTATTCCAGTCTGATAAATGAAATCCACAGAAAGATGCCTGAATTCAACAAGTACCCGGAGCACCTTCTGACCTCCCTTCTTGGCTTGGCTTTTTCTGAATACTTTCCGACTGAGTTCATCAATGTTGCTCTAAGTCCAGAATTTGTCAGGTTAGCTCAAGAGAATAGTAAGTTTGAACTCACTAAGGAACTGTATACTCTTGATGGTACAGTTGCCATTGAGTGTCCAGATTACGAGGGCAATCGTCTTAATTCTCACCTTCAGCAAGAGGCATCTGTAAACCTGTGGAATTTAGCACGTAAGGATATGAGGTCAAAGCCCGAGTTCTTAGAAGCTCTCTGTTTACTTGAGACCATCTTAGGTGGCCCCCAGTACATCAAGCATCATATGATTTTGCCTCACACCCGATCTTCTGACTTAGAGGTTCAGCTTGATGCTAACATGAAGCCACTGCCAATTAACATCGAAGTAACACCAACAGATGATGTAGCCCAATTACGGTTTAAGCAGGTGGGAGTCAGCCTCACAGATGGTTTGATGAACCGGTTGCTAAAGGCAAAAGCCAAGAGGTCTTTCCAGAGGGAAAGTGAGTTAGAGACTGGCCAGCCACCTATGGAGTTAAGAAAGAAGACAGCCGGACCCTTGGTGGACTCTGCTTGTAATGTGACAGACAGATCAGGGGATGTGGGGATAGATGGCCTGTGCCCTGTAGCCCACATGCAGCCTCCACTAGTGAAGCTAGCTATTCAGTTGACAAACAAGAACCAATATTGCTATGGTACCAGGGTTCTGCTTGGACTGCACAATATGAAGAGGAGGCAGCTGGTTCGAATTGGGTACCGCGTGGTAGAATTATCCTACTGGGAATGGCTTCCACTACTGAAACGGACTCGCTTAGAGAAGCTAGCATACCTCCATGAGAAAGTATTCACCTCTGCTCTCTGAAGTACCTTCATGGGCATTTATGCTCATAAAAGCAATAGGTGCACACTCTACACCTATAGGGTGAGCATCCTTAGCCAGGAAATCAAAGTCAAAAATGTTCCAAAATCTGATACTGAGTACTGATAGATCTCAGATCAGGGATATTCAAGTGGTAGTCCATGCAGATACCCCAGACTTGAAATCTGAAACACCTTTGGTCCTAAGTATTTGATATAGAGATTCTCAACCTGTCTTCCAACCAATTACAAAAGTGTAGGTGGATAATAAAACCGTCTATCAAGTAGCTGTGGGTATACTTTTTCTGTTGCAGAGCCTGTAGCTATTTTTATGTTACTACGGAGTGTATATAACCTATGGTAATGGCAAGCTGCTGTAGTGTATTTTGCTCAGAATAAATAAGCATCTTCAAAATGACCTTGAGCCACAAAATCTTATGCATTTTTTCTTTATTAGTCTAATTTAGTTATTTTGAGGTGGTGTTTTATTTTTGTTTTAATTACTATTATGTCTGTTCGTGTGTGCTGGGAACCAAACTTGGGTTTTCTACAAGAACAGTAAGCACTCTTTTTTTTTCTTTTGGCTTTTTGAGAAAGTGTTTCTCTGTATAATAGTGCTGATTATCTTGGAACTTGCTCTGTAGGCCAGGCTGGTCTTTAACTCAATCTTACTGAGCTCCATCTGCCTCTGCCTTCTGAGTGCTGGGACTAAGGGCATGCGCCACCACCACCTCCTGGCTTGTTTTTATTTTTGAGGTGGGTCTTTCTGTAGCCCTGGCTGTCTTGGAACTCCCTATCTTAGCCTTAGACTCACAGATAGCCACCTTCCTCCACCTCCCAGGTATTGGTATTAAAAGGCTGGTGTCACCACGATTAGCCAATAGGACAGTTGTAAGTCTGAAAAAAATTCATTGTTTATCTGAAGCAGTTTAGGTAAGCCCTGTTTGGTAAGTCAGGCAACCCATAGACACAGAATCAAGATGGTATCTTGAGGTTTAGGATCACAGAAAAGATCTGAATGAGATTGTGTTGAGTTAGGGTTTAATAGGCATTGATTTAAGTTGAAAAATTCAGGAGAAACTTAAAAGCACATGAAATAAGGCTCTAAAGAAAAGTAACAAGGTCAGAGTCAAATTTGCCTCCTTACCTTACTCAGGATCCCACAGAGTTTTCAGACAGTAATACTGAGGTATTGAGTAAATTGTTAATCTTGATATTTTTCTTGTTTTTTTAAGACAGGATTTCTCTATAGCTTTGGAGATTGTCCTGGAACTTGCTCTATAGACCAGGCTGACCTCAAACTCACAGAGATCCACTTGTCTTTGCTGGGAGTAAAGGCTTGAGCTACCAACATCCAGCTAATCTTGATAGTTTTCTAAGAGGAAAAGCTGCTCAATTTTTTTCCAAAAAGCAAAAACAGGGTTAAGGATGTGAGTCAGTGACAGTATATTTGCCGCCCATGTGTGAGATGCTGGATTTGATCCCCAGCATCATAAAAATAAAACTTCACATGTGCCTCATACGGTGCCTAAGCCTTTGCTTTGCCTGCAAATAACATCAAATTGCAGGCACCTTTTAGGCTCACACCTGTGTCTAGTCTTTCTGTCCTAATGGACATTGTGTGGGAAACGCTAGGAGAGCTGTCTTTCATTTTAACTTGCTCTGAAAATTGTTGCAAGTCACACTTTTTCTTGGATGGACAGGTAACTCAGTTTGGAAATTATAAGAAGTACTATGTGTCTTTAAAAGCTAAAGTGTCCAATTTCTGAAATTGCTCACTGCATCAGTGTTTCACCTACGTTAAAGTTAAATGCTTTTCCAGTATTTGACAGATGACCCACCTCCCCGCTAACCTGTTTGGACCTACTCTTTAAAATATATGTATCTTCCAGAATTACTTTCCATTACATTCTTGTGAAACTCAGAAGTTCCATTGTGTAAGTCAGCTACTTTTGTGTAGGCCCCAAATGGGTCTTCTTTCAAGTGCTCAGAGTGTCATGGTCACCCTAATCTCCTCTAAAGTAGCTCTCTATATTTCCCTGCCTCCAGGTTTTGAACCTCAGCAACAACAAAAGTCAGCTTGGTTGCTTCAAGCTCTGGGGTACACAGATGGCTGCCTTTTAGAGATGGTGACTCATCCCATTTGCCCAGGACTTACCCCACTTCAGCATTGAAAGTCCCATGTTCTAGGAAATCCCTTAGTCCCTGGTAGACCAGTACCTAGTAGATAATTCCTCTTGACTCTTCCCTTCCTATCCCTGAGCACTGGATGGAAGAAGAAACAGATTTGACCCTGCCCAGAGTGTGGATGTAGATGCTCAGTCCTTACATGTCTGAGACCTGAGGAATCCAGTTCAGTGTTTAATTTAATGTACCTCAACTTTAAACAAAAGAGAATATATCCTGAACTTAACTGTCCAGTCTAGTTAATTTCTACATGCACACATTACTTTCCAAACTGTGTGTGCATTCCTAGATGGAGGGGTTTCATTTCTGTGGTGCTGGAGATCTAACCTAAGGCCTGTGGATTTGAGGCAAATGTTCAACATTAAGCCTATATCTCCAATCAATTCCTAACTTTTTTTGAGACAGATTTACTGTGTAGACCATTCTGGCCTTGAACTCTATAAATTGTCCTGTGTCAGCTTCCCAGGTTGTCCTTCACTTAGACCTCCACACATGCTTTGGCATGTTGTGTGACACTCCCCCACCACCAACCCCATATAAATATTTTTAAATTGATACGCAGTTTTGCTGGCCATAGTAGCTCATACCTGTAATACTAGCAATTGTCAGGCTGAAACAGGAGAATTGCCTCATATTCCATGCCATCCTGGGCTACATACTGAGTTCCAGACCAGCCTGAGCTACAGAGTAAGACTCTTGTCTCAAAAAAAAAAAAAAAAAAAAAAAAAAAAAAAAAAAATCAAAATAAGCAAACCCAACCAATTTCTTGAAAGCTTTGAATTTTTTTTCAGTATACTCAATAATACATGGGACATAGTCCATATTCCTTGTTTTTCTTTTGAATAATATCTCTTCCTCAAAAAAAGGCAAGAGGGAAAATATGCCAAAGGAAAACCTGAAACTAAAGGTTTTTATCTCTGAGTAGTTTGTACCTTAGTGCTCATCTTTGCTGTCTTCATGCCCTTCCTGTAGAATAGAAAGATTGTGAGAACCCTTTAGCCAGAAGGAAAAGGGGCCCTTTGAAGGTTGAATTGCTTCTAAGTGGTTCAAAATTGCTTTTGTCATCTAGATTAATGGCTGACCTCATTAATGTCCTTTATCTTCTTTGTTATAAGCCTTCAATTACTTATAACCAGTAGCTTTCAACTTTTTTTTTTTTTTAAAGACAGGGTTTCTCTGTGTAGCTTTGGAGCCTGTCCTGGCGCTCGCTCTGGAGACCAGGCTGACCTCGAACTCACAGAGATCCACCTGCCTCTGCCTTCTGAGTGCTGAGATTAAAGGCACCACCAACACCTGGCTCAAATTTTTTGTTGTTGTTGTTTGATACAGGTTGTCATATAGTCTAGGCTGGCTTTGAACTCCTATGTAGCCAGGGATGACTTTGAAATATTGATCTTCCTGCCTTCACCTCTTGAGTACTGGTAATACAGGTGTGTATCAGCACTGCAGGTTTATGTGGGAAAGGAATCAAATTGAGGGCCTTGTATATGCTAGACAGGGCTACTGCAAATGGAGCTACATCACCAACTTGAGAATTTGAAGAGTTATTTTGGTGTGTGTGTGGTGGGGGGTGGGGTTGATTGGTTCTGTTCTAGGGATCAAACACAGAACCTTTCAAGTGATTGACCACCCACTTTACAACTGAGTTATATTCTCAGCTCTTTGTGTGTCTGTGTCAGTGTGTGCACATTTAGGTGTGTGCACATGTAGGTGTGTGTGGAGGCCACAGGGTAATATCAGGTGTGTCTCCATCAATCATTCTCTATTTTATTTTTTGAGACAGGGTCTCTCGCTGAACCTGAAGTTCACCAATTGGTTAGACTGGCATGCCAGCAAGTCCCAAGACCTCCTGAGACCTCCTGTATTTGCCTCTTTAGCACAAGGTAGATTACAGGTGTGTGCAGCCACACATGGCTTGTGCAGCCACACATGACTTTTATGTGAGTTTTGCAGCCACATATGACTTTTATGTGAGTTTTAGAGATCTGAACTAAACCATCTCTTCAGCCTATTGTTTTATTTACTATAACCTTTAGGAAGAAATGCCTTTCACATACAAACCTTGAATGGGGAAGTAAGTATTATGTCTTACTTGAGCATGGAAAACATTTAATTGGGGTGACTTGCTTACAGTTCAAAGGTTTAGTCCATTGTCATGGCGCAGAGCAAGGCAGCATGTAGGCAGACATGGTGCTAGAAAAGGAGCTGAGTTCTTAAATCTAGATTCACAGGCAACAGGAAGTGGTCTGTCTCACTGGGTGTAGCTTGAACATAGGAGACCTCAAAGCCCACCCCCACGATGACACACTTCCTCCAAAAAGGCCACACCTCCCTTAGTGCCATTCCGTTTGGGTGGCATTTTCTTTCAAGTCACCCCACTATATGTAGCTTTTAAATTTTTTACAATTTAATTTGTTACTATATTATGTGAGTAATGTGTATGTGTAAGTTTGGACATGTACATGTTACAGGGCACATGTAGAGGTCAGAGATCACCTTTTGAGAGTCATTTCTCTCCCACTTTCAGTTCCAGCAATCAAACTCAGGTCATCAGATTTGCATAGCAAGTACTTTTACCCACTGACATATCTCACCAGCCTTGTGTGTGTGTTGTTTTGAAATAGGGTCTTATGTATTCCAGGCTAATCTCAAACTCCCTGTATAGACAAATAGGGCCTTTGACTCTTAATCTTCCTGTCTCTACCTCTCCAATGCTAGGATTATAGGCATGTACCACCACGCTCAGCTTATGCAGTACTGGTAATCAAATGCAGGGCTTCATGCATGTGAGATAAGCACTCTACCAATTGAGCCATATCCTTAGCCTGTGTATATGTATACACACACACATACACACACAGCCATAACTGAAACAAGGTTTCACAAAACAATGCTCACCCTTGTATGTGGTGCTAGAAAAAGAGCTAAGAGTTCTTAAATCTAGACTCACAGGCAACAGGAAGTGGTCTGTCTGTCTCACTGGGTATAGCTTGAGCATAGGAGACTTCAAAGCTGACATGTAAGATCATACCAGTGAAGGATCTTGATAGAGCCAGCATTGGTGGAACCCAGATTTAGGAAGTTGAACAGGAGGTCATGTATTTAACCACTGCATTATAATATCTAGTAATGTTACCACCCGGCTACTTCATTTTTATCTGCCTCTCAGTGCCTTGTAAAAGATTTGTAAGTGTATGAATATACAGTAGGATTCAGTTGTCCATTTAAAGAACTGTTTGGCTGTGTGCAGTGGTAGAGTATGTAATCCCAGTCTTAAAGAGGATAAGGCCGAGGATCTTAGGTTTAGGATCAGCCTGGCTACACAGAGCCTGTCTTGGGAATTAAAAAGATAGTTTAAGTAGGAAAATAGGTTGGTATATCCTGGTCTGCCAGAATATATATGTGTGCATATATATAATTCAGAATTTTCAAGAAAGTATCAGAGTTTAGTATGTTAATAAAAATATCAGTTGAACAATAAGCATTGTTTTTAAAGAGGCATTTTGTTTTAAACAAAACATTTATTGCTGGGCATGATGGTACATCCCTCTAATTCCAGCATTTGGGAGACAGAAGCAGGCTGATCTCTTGAGTTTGAGACCAACCTGGTCTACATAGCTAGTTCTAGGATAGCCAGGGTTACAAAGAGGAACACTGTCTGTAAAAACAAATAACAAAACAATTGTATTAGATTTAATAGGGGAAGTATCTGCCACAGAGTGTGTGCATGTGTGTATGTTTTCTCCTACCCTCTTGGTCCTGGAGATGGTCATCAAATTTGGTGGAAAGTGCTTTTGCCCACTGAACCATATCAGAGGCTTTCATTTTCTTCCAAAGAACCATTTTCTTATGAGAATGAATAGGAATAGCAACTGTTATAGAATTCTGAAAGTTCTAGTAATGCAGAGTTAAAAATAAGAATTATCTAAACACAGCACTTGGAAAGCAGAGGTAGGCAGATCTCTGTGAGTTTGAGGCCAGCCTGATCTACAGAATGAGTTCTAAGACTGTTATACACAAAAAATCACCCCCTCTAGAAAAAAAAAAAAAGTATTATCACTTCAGAATGCCTACTATCACTAATACTGATATTATAAAACCCCAGGTAAACTTACCCAGCATCTGTTAGACAACAAAAATTAAGAGAGTAAGATCCAATTTACCAGCATACTACCGAACCAGGTTCCCTGAATGTGAGTGTCAGTTGAGAGGCCAGGGCAGTCTATGGGACCTCTGGCAGTGGAACCCTAGTGTATTTATGATAGTATTTATCCCTAGTGTATGAATGGATTTTGGGAGCCCATTCCCTATGGAGGGATACTCTCTCAGTCTAGATACATGGGCCCTGCTCCAAATGATGTGACAGACTCTGATGATCCCCCATGGGAGGCCTCACTCTCCTTGCGGCGTGGGACGGGGGTTGGATGGGAGGGAGAGGGAACTGGGATTGGTATGCAAAATAAGATTGTTTTTAATTTAAATTAAAAGCATACTGACAAAAAGATCCAATTTATTATAATTGAAATCTTTAAAAACATGTAGAATTCGTTAAAAAATGCAAGCTGAAGTAAGACTAAACAGCAGTCTACTAGAATGTTTGTCTCAGGTCTGGTGTGGCAGCACACATGTGTATATATAATCCTGGCACTTGGGAAGTGGAGGCAGGCAGATCAGCAGTCGGGAGTCTCTTTCTGCATGGGCATCTTGAGGCCAGCTACAAGAGTGAAGGCAGGCTGTTAGCATTGAATATCTACCAAAAAGAGATGAATTACTGTTGGATTATACTTTATCCATGCTGTTTGAAAACTATTTCAAAAGCAATTTTATGCTCTATGAAATAAATATTTTAGACAAAGATAAATTTAAGCACCAGGCTACAGATTTTATTACTTCTTTTTCTTTTTTAAAAAAATTTGTTTTTGGTGTTTAAGACATGGTCTCTCTACATAGCCCTGACTGTCTTGTTACTCCAAGATCTGCCTACCTCTGTCTCTAGTTCTGGGATTAAAGGCCTGTACCACAAAACCTGATTTATTCCTGCTTTATAGCAGCCCAAGTAAAGGATCCTGGACATACCTTAATGACATTGAGTTGCTTGGGATAAACAATTATTTTAATATAGAGAACCAAAAGAAAAATTTCTCTTGGGTCTCAAAAAGAGCATATCAGGTAGAGAATAATTGTCTTAACTTAAGAAAACTACATCCTACCTTACAAACTGTTTTGCACAATGTTGTGGAGCAGTCAGGTGCATGCGTGTGCACTGCAGGTGCAAGGAGCACGGTGGTGTTAATGGTCTCAGGGATAGGCCAGAGCAGCACCCAGAGAGAGCCAGCTGAGAAAAGATACCTTGGGTATGTTGTAGTTGTCAGTTAACGTGTTGTACTACCTGCCTGTGTCCTAAACTTCACACAAGCTAGAGTCATATGGGAAGACAGGAGAACCTCAGTTGGCAAAAAAATTGGGGGATGGAGAGATGGCTCAGTGGTCAAGAAAACCAACTGCTCCTCCAGAGGACCAAACATATGGCAGCTTGTAACCATCTGTAACTCCAGTCTCTGACATCCCTCTGGCTTCCATAGGCACCAGGAATGCATGTGATACACAGTTAAACATGCAGGCAAAAACAAACGGGGGGGGGGGGGGGGGGGGGGGGAGGCTCTAGCCAGCAGAAGTGGCACACGCCTCTAATCCCAGCACTGGAGAGGCAAAGGCAGGCAGTTCTCTGTAAGTTTGAGGCCAGTCTGGTCTACACAATGAGTTCCAGGACAGCCAAAGCTAGAGAGACCCAACTCAAAAGCTTTAAAAAGCCTCCATCAGATAAGCCTGTAGGCAAGTCTGTGAATCATTTTCTTAATTAACAATTGATGTGGGATGGTGTAGCCCACGTGGACAGTGCCAGCCCTGGGCAGGAGGTCTGGGGACTATAAAAAAAAAAAACAGTAAGTGAAGTAACTCATGAAGTTTAGAAAGCTAGTAAGCTGCATTACCCAAGGTCTCTGCTCGGGTTTCCTGCCTCCAGGTAGCTGCTTGGTTCCTGCCCAGACTTCCCACAGTGATGGACTGTGATGTGAAAGTGTAAGCCAACTAAACCCTTTCTCCAGCAACAAAATGCAGACTAATACAGTGTTGTAATTACTGTTCTATGCAGGGGGAGACACCATGACCAAGGCAACTTATAGAAAAAAAGCTCTTAATTTGGAAGCTTGCTTACAGTTTCAGGGGATTAGTCCTTGGTCATCATGGCAGGGAACATGGTGGCAGGCAGGCAGTCTTGGAGAAGTAACTGAGAGCTCACAGTTATAGGCAGAGAGAGAAACAGATAGATTGGGCCTGGTGTGAGCTTTTGAAGCCTCCTCCAGTAACACTCGGTAATGATATCTTGTTTATAACCTAACAAATGAAGCTTGTCTGAAGATCAGAGGGCGGAACTAGCCACTAGTTAACCATAAAGGTCTAGAGGTCTGTACAGACAGATAGGAGGTGGTAAGGTTGGGCAGAGAGAGAAAGTGATAAGGCAGGAAGAGACAGGAGCTCAGTCTCTTTTCAGTCTGAGGATTTTGTAGAGGTAAAAGCTCTAGTGGCTGGCTGCTCTGCTTCTCTGATCTTTCAGCTTTCACCCCCTTAATATATGACTCCGGGCTTTTATTATTAAGACCCATTAGAACTTGTGTTACAACACACCACCTCCAACAATCCTTCTCGAACAGTTCCAGTAACTGGGACCAACTGTTCAAACATAAGTGCCTTTGGAGTCATTCTCATTCAAACCACCAACTGAATTATTTTTATATATTTAAAAATTTTTAGTGCTAGGGATTAAGCCTAGAGTTTTACAAATACTAATCAACCTCTCTGCCACTGAGCTTTATTTCCTGCCCTAATTTGTATTTTTTTAAAGTTATTTGTGATGCTTGGGATTGAACCCAGAACCTCATGCATGCTAGCTAGGTAAATGCACTACCACTGAGGCCCACCCAGAGTCCTAAAATTGAATTAATGTATTACCATTTGTTTTTGCTACAGGTGAGGATCATCCAAATTCCTGAGAAATCTGCCAGGTAGTAGTATGGGATATGATCTGCCACAGTCCCCAAAGATACCAGGCAGAAAGCAAGAGGTGGCATTGACGCTGACAATGAAGAGAATTTAATGTGGATGGACTCAACAGCCTCTGTGTGTTTCTTCCACCTCAGTAAGTGCTGTGAAGAAAGGTAGTCCATGTTCTGCTAGCCTAGGCTCATGCTTTAGGAATGTTCTCCTGGAGCTGGCGACCATGGACTAAGTTGGAGCAGCTTTATGACTTTTGACTAGAAGGCTCCTCTTACACAAGGGTAAAGAGGCAGTAACAGTGAGCAGGGCCCACTATAGTTCTCCTTCTCCATTCTTAATACAATAGATGTTGGAAAGGGTAATCAAGATTCCCATGGTTCAGGGCTGGGGATGTATCTCGTTTGGTAGAGTCCTTGCTTAACATGTGGAAATCCCTGGTTTAATCTTCATCACCACATAAACCGAGTGGTGCACATACCTTGTGGAAAGGAGAGGCAGGAGGATCAGAAGTTCATGGCCTGGGCTACTAGAGACCTTATCTCAAAAATACAAAACAAAACAACCAAAAAAGACTTCCACATTTCTATATCATACATTAATTTTTAAATTTTATATTATGTGAATGGTATTTGTACCATGTATATGCCTGGTGCCCAGAGAGGCCAGAAGAAGGCACCAGATACTGTGGACTGGAGTTACAGTTGATTTTAAGGTATCCTGTGAGAATTGAACCTAGGTCCTCCGGAAGAACAACCAGTACTCTTAACGTCTGTGCCTTCTCTTAGAAGCTACTCTAATTTTAATTCATTGAGTACTCTGGGGATAGGTGAGGTGATGTAGCCAATAAAGGCACTTGTTATGAAAGCTTGATGACCTGAATTCTGCTCATAGGAACACTCCCCCTCCCCACCACCCTGTAGTAGAATGAGAGAACCAACTCCTGACAAGTTGTCCTCTGACTTCCCACACACACTGTGGCATGTATGAGCATACATGCATAGTATTAAGTACATGTAATTTTACAAAAGTTTCTTTTTTGGGGGGGGGTCCGAGACAGGGTTTCTCTATGTAACAGTCCTGGATGTCCTGGAACTCACTTTGTAGACCGGGTTGGCCTTGAACTCACTGAGATCCGCCTGCCTCTACTCCCAAGTTCTAGGATTAAAAGTGTGTGCCACCGCTGCCTGATTTACAGAAGTTTCTTAAATGAGGGAATCTGAGGGATCAGTGAGATGGCTCAGAGTAAAGGTACCTGCAGTACAAGCCTAACTACCTGAGTTAAAGACCTGGAACCCATGTAAAGGTGAAAGGAGAAAAGGGGCTGTCCTCTGACCTCCACACGTGCTGTGGTAATGTGTCTTCACACGCACATCACATGCATAAATATGCAAGCAATTTTTGCAATTAAAAAAGGAAAGGGGAATCTGGTATACTTAAATAAATGAACATAAATGCCATGCTCATGAGAATTCCATGCCATGAGGATGCCATGATAGCATGCTCAAGTGTTGCATAGAGTTTATAAACCCAGAAAAACACCCCAGCCTTTTGAAAAACAGTTTTGACTCCTCCAGGTGTGTTTAGTAAGGAAGCAGTTATACTTACAAGGTTAAAAGTGCCCAGCACCACTGTCATTGTTTCTGTGACCCTATCCATTCACCACCCCCTTCTTGTGTTCTGCTGCTGTGCACTGTCTCTTTCCTATAGGAGACTCTGCAGAGCTGACATTAGAAAATGGCCTTCTCAGGCCTGGAGACCAGCACCACATGGCGGCTCACAACCTTCTCTATAACCCTAGTCCCAGGGTGTCTGCAGCTTCTGACCTTTGTGCGTTCCTGCACACCCATGGTGCACAGACATACACACAGACACACACACACACACATACACATTAAACACTTTTTTTTTTTTTTTTTTTTTTTTTTTTTTTTTTTTATGTGGCTTTGGAGGCTGTCCTGGAACTTGCTCTGTAGATCAGGCTGGTCTCGAACTCACAGAGATCCTCCTGCCTCTGCCTCCCAAGTGCTGGGATTAAAGGTGTGCACCACCACTGCCGGGCCAAAATATTTTTTAAAAGGATGGAAAAATCACCTTCTTAACTTTTCAGTGAGTAATTTTCCCCATTATCAGTACGACACAAGGAAAATGGTCTGGACTAGGAGAATATGCTACAGCTTCTGCTTCTTCTCTATTTGCTCCTCTCTTAGATTCAACTTCTGAAAGTTCAAAACTGTTTATTTATTTATTTATTTATTTATTTGTTTATTTATTTATTTGGTTTTTCAAAACAGGTTTCTCTGTGTAGCCTTGGCTGTCCTGGAACTCACTCTGTAGATCAGGCTGGCCTGAAACTCACTGAGATCTGCCTCCCTAATTCTGTGATCAAAGGCGTGTGCCACTATGCCTGGCTTTAAAGCTGAATTTTAATGTGTCTGGCTAATACTAAGTTTCATTTTTTTTTTAAAGGCTGTTTCTGATGCTTGGAAGCTATTCTTTCAGCCACAAAGATGGTAATAAATCTTTGCCTCCCACAGTTCAGACCAAGAATTCACTGCAACAAGGTAAGCCAAACAAATTATACACATAAATATGTAATATAGTCTTCATACTTTCTCCCATTTCCTGCCTTGATTTAGGCTTACTGTACTTGCACCCTTGGGTTCCAGCAGACAGCATTTAGACAAGTACTGGGCAGTTGCTAGAATTATAGAACACTGCTGTGAGGTGTTCTGTGATTCATTTTGTGAGAAATCGACTTAATTGTGCACTCCTCTTGACAGATCAGTGTCACATGTGCAGTCACAGCAGAGACAGATCAGTGTCACAGGTGCAGTCACAGCAGAGACAGATCAGTGTCACAGGTGCAGTCACAGCAGAGACAGATCAGTGTCACAGGTGCAGTCACAGCAGAGACAGATCAGTGTCACAGGTGCAGTCACAGCAGAGACAGATCAGTGTCACAGGTGCAGTCACAGCAGAGACAGATCAGTGTCACAGGTGCAGTCACAGCAGAGACAGATCAGTGTCACAGGTGCAGTCACAGCAGAGACAGATCAGTGTCACAGGTGCAGTCACAGCAGAGACAGATCAGTGTCACAGGTGCAGTCACAGCAGAGACAGATCAGTGTCACAGGTGCAGTCACAGCAGAGACAGATCAGTGTCACAGGTGCAGTCACAGCAGAGACAGATCAGTGTCACAGGTGCAGTCACAGCAGAGACAGATCAGTGTCACAGGTGCAGTCACAGCAGAGACAGATCAGTGTCACAGGTGCAGTCACAGCAGAGACAGATCAGTGTCACAGGTGCAGTCACAGCAGAGACAGATCAGTGTCACAGGTGCAGTCACAGCAGAGACAGATCAGTGTCACATGTGCAGTCACAGCAGAGACAGATCATGTCACATGTGCAGTCATAGCAGAGTAGAATCACTCACTCAATATTTCACTCCCCCCCCCCTTATTTTTTTGTTGTTGTTGTTTTTGTTTTTCGAGACAGGGTTTCTCTGTGTAGCTTTGGAGCCTATCCTGGCACTCGATCTGGAGACCAGACTGGCCTCAAACTCACAGAGATCCACCTGCCTCTGCCTCTGCCTCCCGAGTGCTGGCAACGCCTGGCCCCCTCTTATGTTTTCTGTTGTGTTGTCATTGCTTTTATTTTATTTTATTTTATTTTATTTTTTTGCTTTTAAGATTTATTTACTTTTGCCAGGTGTTGTGGTGACTACCTTAAATCTTAGCAGGATAAGAATCTCTGTGAGTACTGGGAACTAACTGAATCTGGGTCCTTTCTCGAAGAGCAGCAAGTACTTTTTTTTTTTTTTAAGGTTTTATTTATTTATTATGTCTTCTGCTTGCATGCCAGCAGAGGGCACTAGGTCTCATTCAAGGAGGTTGTGAGCCACCATGTGGTTGCTGGGAATTGAACTCAGGACCTTTGGAAGAAGAGTCGGTGCTCTTAACCACTGAGCCTTCTGTCCAGCCCCGAACAGCAAGTACTCTTAACCACTGAGACAGACTTTGTTTTTGGGTTGGTTTGTTTGTCTCATGTAGCCCTGGCTGGCCTTTAACTTACTATGTAGTTTAGAATGATATTGAATTCCTGATCATTCTGCTTTACCTCTCAAGTGCTGGGATTTTTAGATATGTATCATGTACCTCACTTATTGCTCATATTTTTAATAGTGGGTCATGCTTGGAGACATTTACATTTAGCCTTTGGCATGATTTTGAGTGCCTCCAAAAACTTGAGATAATTCAGTTTAACAGATAAATTTAAAAATTAAGAATTTAGAAGCCAGGCAGTGGTGGTGCCCACCTTTAATCCCAGCACTCGAGAGACAGAAACAGGTTGATCTCTGTGAGTTTGAGACCAGCCTGGTCTACAGAACAGAGTTCCAGGACAGGCTGCAAAGCTACAGAGAAACACTGTTTCAAAAAACCAAAAAAAAAAAAAAAAAAAAATTTAAGAACTTAGCCAAGTGGTGGTGGCGCACACCTTCTTTAATCCTAGCACTGGGGAGATAGAAGTAAGTGAATCCCTGAGTTCAAGGCCAGTCTGATCTACAGAGAGAGCTCCAGGACAACCAGGGCTACTCAGAAAAAACCCTGTATTGTAAAGAAAAATTAAGAACTTAAGGTTTTCTGTAAAATAAAATTTTGTGGGACTGGAGAGTGGGCTCAGTGGTTACTATTACTGGCTATTCTTCCAGAGGACTTAGATGAAATTTCTAGCACCCACATGGTGGCTTGCAACCATCTAGAACTTCAGTTCCAGAGGATCTGACGTCCTCTTCTGGCCTCAGTGGGCACTGCATGCACAGGTACACAGACATGTAAGCAGTCAAAACACCCATATACATAAAACAAGCAAACAAACAAACAAATATGAAAAGTCTTTTTGTAAGTGACAAGTTCTTGAAAACTGGTTGACTTCATTTGGATCAGTGTGTCTCCTCTGTCATTAAATCTAGGTGTCAGCTGATGGTTATGAAGTAGAAAATCTCATCTCTGAAGACCTCATAAAGAGAAGCCATGGCTTTAGGACAGAGTATTTCATTAGACCTCCAATCTATGTGACAGTTTCCTTTCCCTTTAATGTGGAAATCTGTAGGATTAATATAGATCTCACAGCTGGAGGATGTCAGAATGTCACTGGCCTGGAGTTATACACATCTGCCTTATCCAGTAGGGCCTCTCTGGATTCACACGGGTGCTGGACTACAGACCCCATGGAGCTCTCTGTTCCAGACAAGGAGGCATTCACCTTGGTAGGCAAAGTCTTACTGAAAAACCAGAACCATGTGGTGTTCAGCCACAGGGGCTTCAAGGCCAGGCCACCATTTAGCCCAATGGAAGTCACACTTTTCTCTCCTGCTGTTGTAGCCCAGGAACTCTGGAATAAAGGGGCTCTTTCCCTTAGCCACGTGGCCCACCTCAAGATTGGAATCACCCATGTGACAGGCAGTGGCATCTCTTGCATAAAGCGTTTAGAAGTGTGGGGTCAGCCAGCCAAGACCTGCTCTCAGGAGGTGATAAATAGTGTCTTGTTGATAGCATCAGAAAGCCTGCCTAAGGACTTGGGTGTGCACACTCCAGCCTTGCCCATGGAGAGTGACTGTGACCCTGGGGGTCAATCTGAGGGCCAGCAGGGTCCCTGTATCTTACAGGAGATGTCTGAGATGGTTAATGATGTGCCAGAGGAGTTCCTAGATCCTATCACCCTGGAGATCATGCCATGCCCCATGCTGCTGCCCTCAGGCAAGGTCATTGACCAGAGCACTCTGGAGAAGTGTAACCTCAGTGAAGCTACTTGGGGCCGAGTGCCCAGTGACCCTTTCACAGGGTTAGCCTTTACCCCACAGTCCCACCCCCTACCTCATCCTTCCCTGAAGGCCCGGATTGACCATTTCCTACTCCAGCACTCTGTTTCTGGCTGCCACCTGCTTGGGAGAGCACAAACTACATCAGCAATGGCCCCTTCTATCATTACCCTGCCCTCAAGGAAAAGGAAGCCAGAGCAGGCTGGACACAGCTCAGACTACAACCTTGGCATGAGTTCAACTTCCTCTGCCACAAGCCCTCTGCTCTCATACTCTACCTCAGAGCCTACTGCCAAGAAGATGAAAGCCCCTGCTGAGCTCAGCCTGACAGATATGGACTGTTCAGCAGGTAAGTCTTCTGTGTCCATGGCTCGGGCATCCCTTCCCTTCCTGCAGTGAGATGCTTCTGTACGTGGCTTTATGCTGTACCAGCTTACATTTACAAAGCTGGGGCCATGTTGCTTCCTACTTATTTTTGTAAGGACATCTCAGTTTTGTCCTTGGTGTATAGATAACCTGGAAGTCTCAAAGGGTTGTGTGTATTCTCTTATTATTCTGACACTTATTTTTCTAGTTATTTGTTTGTTTATTTATTTATTTAGAAAGAGGGTCTGTAGCTCAGGCTTTTTCAAGGCTCATTATGGAGTCCTGACCAGGGTTGAATTGTGTTGCTCCTCCTGTCTCCATCCCTGAGTGCTGAGACTGCAGATGGAAACCCCACAGCTGATTATTCCTGAGTTCTGTCATCATGCTTTGTGCCTTCTCCAGTAATGGTCCCATTGGTAGACTCACCTGCTTGGTGTTCCCTTTGTCTTTCCCGGCAAGATCAATGTATTTTCCTATCTTGAATCCTCCATTCAGACCTGCTGGAAGGAAAAACAGTAGGTCCATTCAAGCAGCCTATGTCCTTTTTTTCTGGAACCTTGTATTGTCATGTGTCTGGACGCCCTTGAAGTATTATGTCTAGTCTTCCCAGAGGAGATAGATGCAAATGCACTGTGGTTCTCTCTGCCTCACTTATCTGCAGAAAAGTGGAAAAGTGTGAGGCTGGAGGCCTGCCTCTCAGAAAGGAAATACAGTCGGTAAATATGAGAGTGAGTTGAGAGTTAAGCTGCCTGGCTTCCGCCTTTTTCCTCTGGTATCACCAGTTCCTGGAAGCCACAGTCCTTCCCCCACTTGAGCAGAGCAGCCTGGCTTGCTTAGGAAACTCTGAACCTGGAAATGTCTGGCGTAACTTTTCAGACTGACAAGACTTGTATTCATTTGTTGTTTGTTTTGTTTTCAAGACAGGGTTTCTCTATGCAGCCCTGGTTGTCCTGGATCTTGCTCTGTAGACCAAACTGGCCTCAAACTTGGAAATCCACCTGCTTCTGCCTCCCAAGTGCTGGGATTGAAGGTCTTAGTTAGAGTTTCAATTGCTGTGACGAAACATCATGCCCAAAAAGCAAGTTAAGGGAAGGGTTTATTTGGCTTACACTTCAGCATTGCTGTTTATCACTGAAGAAAGTAAGAACAGGAACTCAGACAGGATAGGACCACAGAGGCAGGAGCTGATGCAGAGGCCATGGAGGGTGCTGCTTACTGTCTGGTTCTCCACGGCTTGCTAGGCCCATCTTATAGAACCCAGGACCACCAGCCCAGGGATGGCATCACCCACCAGGGGCTGGGCTCTCCCCCATTGATCACTAACTGAGAAAATGCCTTCCAGCAGGATCTCATGGAGGCATTTCCTCAGCTGAGGCTCCTTCCTCTGATGACTCTAGCTTGTGTCAAGTTGACACACAATCAGCCAGTACAGCCGCCATGCCCAGCTGACATGTTATTTTTGAAAAGACAGGCAGATAAGAAAGAAAGGAATATTGGAGCTGGAGAAATGGCTTACCAGTTAAAAGCACTTAATGTTCTTCCAGAGGCAAATAGACACATCAGGGACTAAAAACCTCCTGTAATTACAATTCCAGGGGTCCTGATACCCCCTGGTCTCTGCCAGTACCTGCATACAAGTGGAACACACAAACCCACACAGGTGGGCACATGCACGCACAGATTCTGGGGGACCGAACTCAGGTCCTCGTGCTTTTGCTGATAGCACTTTACTGGCAAAGCCATTTCCCTAGCACTTGAGCTTCTGTTTGTTTTTGGAGGCAGGGTTTCTCTTTGTGTAGCCTTGGATTTCCTGGAACTCACTCTGTAGACCAGGCTGGCCTTGAACTCACAGAGCTCCACCTGCCTCTGCCTCCATTGACCGGCATACCTTTCTTATTAAAAAAAAAAGTGCCAGGTGATAGTAGTACATGCCTTTAGTCCCAGCACAGTGGGCAGCTAGGGCTACGCAAAGAGAAACCCTGTCACGAATAAACAAAAACCCAAAAAACAAAACCAAAAAAGGTATGGTAGCAAATGCCTTTATTTCCAGCATTCAAGAGGCAAAGGCTGGAGAATCAACATGAGTTTGAGGCCAGCTTGGGTTACATAGTGATACTCCTGGCTAAAAAAAAAAGGAAAAGGGAAGGGAAGTATGCTGAGGCAGAGGATAGGGTTTGTGGGGACTGTATAGAGCTAGTGGCTGCTGTCTCATAATTTCTTGGGCCGGCAGGCAGGCCTTTCAAAATGTGACACAGGGGCTTGTGGGTGTAATGACACAAATCCAGGACCATACCCCAGCACCACAAAATAAAAAAGTAGGTGCAGTTCTTTGTCAAAGCCTCAAGGTGGCTCTCTCCTGCATGACACTTTGTCTAGGGGAAAACTGGAGAAAGCCCTAAGCTTTGTAGGCATAGGCGATGGGGAGTAATTACCAGGGTTCCCAGGCCTCCTTTGTTCTACCTTCAAAATCCTGGGAGACACAGGAAGAGGTTTTCTTTATACCACGTGTCTAAAGTAGGAAGGGTCATCCTCTGGTCCTCCAAGAATGTGTAGCTGTCTCTCTCTTGCTGAGCCTTCCTGGATGTCATGGTCTGTGTCTCTCTCACAGGTCCAGTGTCCCATGAGCAGAAGCTGTCGCAAAGTTTGGAAATTGCCTTGACTTCCACCCTTGGCTCCATGCCTTCCTTCACTGCCCGGCTCTCCAAGGGGCAGCTCCAACAGCTGGGCACAAGAGGGAGCAGTGCTTCCAGGAGGCCAGACACCAGCCATGGTAATCCTCTGTGAGCTCTAGCATCTGCCTGTGCAGGATGCTGGGCCAGTCTCTTTGTGTTCTGTGGGACTTCATAGCCAGCTCTCTTATGTAATTCCCATCTGAAGAGAGCACTTTTGTCTTTTCCAGAAGGAGATGAGGGGCCACCTGGAAATGGGACTCATCCAGTTCCCAAGTTCTGGGATTACAGAGGTGCCCACCACACTTGGCTGAGGTGAACTGCATAGTTCTCCTGGGACTTTGCCCCTCCTTTTTTGTTCCCTAATATTCCTTTCATTTGACATCTGGGTTATTTTATCTACATGTGAAGAAAGGGTTAGCTTTCAGATGTCATCTTCTGCCCTTTTGGGGGGTGGGTTCAAGACAGGGTTTCTCTGTTTAACAGCCTTGGTTGTTCTGGAACTCACTTTGTAGACCAGACTGGCCTCAAACTCACTGAGCTCCGCCAGCCTCCCACATTCTGGGATTAAAGGCATGTTGCCACCACTACCCAGCATCTTCTGTCCTTTTTGGTAGCATTTTTATCACAGTGGTAGATTAATGGGCCAAATTTTGTATGGCAGATACAAAGTGAGGAACTGACTACACTTTCTGTCTTGTCTGTCTGTCTTTCTTTTTTTATGTGTATGAATGTTTTGCCCTTTGCCTGGTGGAGATCAGAAACAAGTGTCAGGTCACCTGAAACTGGAATTACAGATACTTGTGAGCCACCATGTGGGTGCTTGGAGTTGACTCCAGGTCCTCTGAGAGAGCAGCCAGTGCTCTCTAACATTTGAAATATCACACCAGCTCCCCAAGCCCCTTTATTAAACAAAGGACAAAATGAAGCCTGGTGAGGCTGATAAGACAGGTTGTTGATTCCTCCTGTGGATGCAGAGCCTGTCCCTTCTATGGTCATCTGGATTTCCATTTCACTCTTGCCCACTCTGATTGTTTCTTCCCTAACTATTCCCAAGAACGTATCTTTCAAAGTACCCAGTGAAATGGTTAAGTCTTGTGGCTGCTTGGCCTCTCAGTACCCAGGGATGTGATGTGGCCAGCCTGTCCTGCCTTAGCCACCTTCTCTTTCTTTTGGTCTTCCGATGGTGCAGCTTCTTTCCTGCCTTCAGCCGTTTCTTTTCAGATTCCATTGCTAGAGTTTCTGCCACTGAGAGCCCTCATCTAGTACTGCTCTTGTGGCTCCTGCCTCTCCTTGGAACTCAAACCCACCCTCTCAGATAGCTGCTGGGATGCTTCTCATTGGTATTTGGGAGGGTGGGGTCTGTGCACAGTATACACATGCCACAGCACACATATGGAGGTCAAAAGACAACTTTGAGAAGTTGGTTCTCCTCCACTGGGTTCCAGGGATGGAGCTCAGGTCATCAGGCTTATGCAGGAAGTACTTCTATCCACTGAGGCATCTCATCAGCCCCTTTTGTGCTTTTCTTTGCTGTGGTTCTGAGGACACCCTGGAACCAACTCTGCATCCTCTTTCCCAGTCCCAGGAATATGAACCCTTGTGAGCTCCCTACAGCTACTGTGCTCCCCATCCCCGTCGACCATGGCCCCATGGTCCTTACAGTTAGTTAACATCACAGGGGGATCAACCGCATGAGCATGAGTCGAAGCCCCCTGTCTGTTGATCACAGCAGGGAATCTTGTAGTGAATCTTACAGTGGGAGGGAGGGTCCACCCAAGGCGAGGGCAGTTCAGGAAAGGGATTAAGGGTTGGAAGGCAGCTATTGGCAGATTGAAGCTGCCCCTCTGGCGATTTCCTTCAGCCTGAGTGTTCTGATATGTGGACCACATTCTGCTTTTCTCTCTTCTTGCAGCTGGTCCTGTCAGGGTTAGCTTGTACCTTGCTCGGCCTTTGGCAGGGGAATGTACACTTTGTCTGGGAGGCCAGGGGACAGGCCTGGTCCTGCACATGACATTCAGAGCCCAGTTCTCACGCATTCATAGACACTACCAACACTGATAGAGGTGGTAGAAGGGAGACCTGCCGTTCCCAGCTTCAGGGACAGCACTGAGGAACAGCTCACTAACCCTGCCTTGTTCTTCTGACTCACCAGGGCATCCCAGGACTGTTTGTGGTCCAGAGTGTGTGTCCTGCAAAAGAGCATTTTCTTCCTACTCCACAAAGGAGCCTGTGTACCAGCTGCCCTGTGGCCACCTTCTGTGCCGACCCTGCCTGAGTGAGAAGCAACGCTCTCAGCCCATGATGTGCACAGCCTGCCAGCAGCCAGTCACCAGCCAGGATGTGCTTCGGGTCCATTTTTGAGTGCCCAGCCTCAACCAGGAAGCCCCGTTTTGGAAGAGACCTGCAGGTGGAGGAAGCAAGAACAGGATCCCAGTGCCCCTGTTCTCTCCTGGGTTTTAGCACCTCATGGTGTGTTACGGGGACTGGTTTAGGACACCCCACTCCTGCTTAGGCAACAACAGGATAATAAAGCCATAGGCTAGGCTAGGGAAGACGTCCCTATTCTCCCTGGTCTACCTTGCCACTCCCCAACCAGAGCCAGCCCCAGCTGTTCAGAAGCACTCCCCTGATGCCCCCTGTTATCTGCACACAATCTTTTGTTTGTTTCATTTTTTGGTTTTGTTTTTTTTGAGACAGGGTTTCTCTGTATAGCCCTGGCTGTCCTGGAACTCTCTGTAAACCAGGCTGGCCTCAAAGTCATAGAGAGCTCCATCTGCCTCTCTCCCAAGTGCTGAGATTAAAGGCATGTACCACTGCCACCTGGCTGCACATAACCTTCTAATGGAACCTTGTGGATGACACTCAGTAGACTGTAACGTGGGACCTCACACAGCCTTCTCTGCCTCAGGGTCACTCACATGTGGACCATGGTAGGGGTTGTCAAGCACACAACTTAGCTATGTGTACTCCCACCCCTGCAGATACTTAGAGCCTTAATAAAATGACAGTTGACATTCACTGAGGCTTACTCCTGGCACACAGGACAAGACAGCCATGTGCAGTGGCTGCCACCTGTCAGGCAGTGGTTTAGATCTAGCCAGCATGGTGTGTCAGTGCAAAGGAGGGGGAGTAGCTTCCATCTGGCCAGTTGCCAGTGTGTCTGGTTGTTCCTGGAGCCACTCTCTGAGAGAGGACATCCCTGTTCTGTGTGGCCCACTACAGGAAAACACTTGTTTAGAGGCAACATTTTTAACAATTTATGTGTCCGTGTATGGGAACCTGTATGGCATGGTATACCTGTGGAAGTCAGACTACACCCTCCAGTTGGCTCACTCCTTCCACCTGCGTGGCTCCCAGAACTGAAATTCAGACCATTAGCATTGTGGCAGTCTCCTATACTCTCTGAATCACCTCAGTGGCTCCTTAGGCTATGCTTTTTTTTTTTTTTTTTTTTTTTTTTCCCATTCAAAATTAAACCTTATGGAGTCCCAAAGAAAACTAAGATTCCATACAAATCTGTTCACTGTCAGGAGCTTCTAGCCATTAGAATATCTGTGCAGGTCACCACACTGTTTCCAATCCCTTCTGGGTATGGTCCACCTTATCTTTGAGATGAATCACAGTCCCTTGAACCACATGTTCTCTGTTCCTTCAGGTTGCCCAGAGCTTAGTCCTGGGGCTTAGGGAATCTGCTTTCAGGGTTCCCAGGGGAAATGTCCACAGAGGTGGCCAGTAGGGGATTATCACTCCTTTCTCCTACACACTACACCACCGGTACCTACTGTACTGCAGCATCATTCAAGACACCAGGGTCTGCATGGATAGGCCACCCTGCACTGTCTGGTGGCTCCACACATCCCCACTCTGCCTGAGCTTCCCTCCTGGGTGCTGCGTTATCAGCCTACAACTACAGAGGCCTTGGTTTGGGGGGTCATAAACTACCCACAACCTGTAATGGTCTCTGGAGTGGGCCCACCTCCCCCTCAGCCTTTAGGCCTCAATGAGAGCTCAGGGAGCTATCTCTGCCCTCCACCCTGGGCTCCCCAGAACCCCCAAGCTGCCACTCCCCTGCAGCTATACCAGAGGTGCCTGTCCTATTCTGCTGGAAAACTAGGTCGGTGGCAGGACCTAACCCAAGTCCAGTGGGGAGTCACCCACACACTCAGTGTGATTGTATTCAAGATCTGACCCCACCTCCCCCAAGGAAGTGATCTTTTCTCTGCCCTTGCCAGCACCACAGAGCTGTTTTTCTTCCCTAGGACCTGGTGTGGTACAAGCTCGTAAATCCAAACATCAGGAGGACTGCCATGAGTTCAAGGCCAGCCTGGGCTACTTGTCTCAAAGACACTAAAATAAAAAGAAATATGTTATTTGGCCCCATGGACATTTTATTTCTCATTATAAACTGGGCCTGGGGCCATGCATAAAACAGCTTCCCAGTAAACATGCAGAGCTCAACTCCACTGACCAAGACGACTTAGCCACAACCTTGTCTCCACCCAGCAGCCTTCCAGAGCTGTCCTGGCCTTTGCCTAGTATTGGGGTCACGTACTCAATGGAGGTACAAGATTGGAGACTGTTGAAGACATGCAGCACTTGGGTCTTCTGAGGACAGAAGGCAGGCCAGCTTGAGGTGACAGGCCCACAGCAGCTGCAGGCTCTGGGTCTTCATTCCCTAGGCAACAAGTCAAGTCTGCTCAGCTGCCCTATGGGACCAAAGCCTTGACCCCCAGCCACTCCCTGGGGGAAGTTCTGCCAGAATTAGTCCTGAAGGTAGAAGAAATAGAAGAACCAGATAGCCAGGAAGAAGGCCAGCAGCTGCTCAGTGCTCATGGAGAACCCATACTCCCTGAAGGTGGGCAGCTGGAAACTGCAGACCCGGGGTTCTGCGACTGGTTGGGGTCGCCCAGTTCCACACTTATTTGACTTCTTCTTATAGGTCTCCATCTTGAGGCCAGTCAGCTGCTGGGCTCCTTTCCATTCAGCACAAACAGGGTCCTCTGACGCTGGAGTTCCTGTAACTAGGTCTGCAGACAAAGAGACCAGCCTCCCACTGCCAGGGGCATTGTGACGCAGACCTGAGTGCCATTGTGATGGCCACTGAGGTAGAAGTGAGGCTCCTGTGGGCTGGCCTTCCCCCACAGAGCTCCCATGGGTATTCTGTAAGGAGGGCCTGGCCCACAGCTTCCCCCACCCGGCTCCCTATTCAGGACTGCTTTCTTCTCACCTGGCCTCTAGGCTACTTGCACGTGCAGCGTCTTCTCTCAGAGAAGAGCCAGGCTGGAACTGGCTAAAGCCACTGTTGAGAGCAGTGTGACTGTCTTAAAAGCTGGGAGACATACAGGTTATGCCTGTATTCACAGTTCTTATGCATTTGACGCACCCTGGGTTACAGAGACCCTGTCTCAGAACAAAGCAAATTGAACTTAAGTTCCAAGTGTCACCAGCCAGCCACATTTCATGAAGCTACTGGTCTGAACACTTGAGATACAGACCAATTCTGCCATCACAGTGCAAGGCCAAGACAGGAATGTGAGCCTGGCATGTCCATCCTCTCATAGAAACCTTCCTCCTGAGACAGAAGACCCCCTAAATGGAGAAGAGAGCACAGGCCTGAACCCCATTCTGTACTAACTGTACTAACTAATGTTGGCCACCGCCTGGGGTCCCACCTGCTGAAGTGGCTCTGCCTGCCACCCTCCCCCCTGCCCCGTTCTTGGGGTGACATCTAGGGTCTCATTCTAGGCAAGTATTCACCCTCATGCAACATCCTCATAATCTGCCCAGAAGAAAGGATTTCCAGAGGGCACAGAGGTGAAGATGAAGGAGAGGGATAGCTTGTTACTACTGCTAGGATCTTCTAGCAGCAAGACATCGCTTCTTGTCACCACTCAGAATATTTTGGCATTGTCTCCCAGCACGTCTCTAATGAAAGCCATCCCCACTGGGCACCTGTGCTAGGGGAATCAAACCCCAGACTTCAGGCATATGAGGCAAGTAAGCTACTACTGAGCTACAACCCCTACCCCCCCCAAAATGGGGGCTTTTATATGTGTGTAGGGCGTGAGTACACACATGTGTGCCCATGGCGGCCAGAACAGGACATCAGATCCCCTGGAACCAGAGTTCTAGGTAGTTGTGAGCTGGCAGATAGCGGGTGCTGGGAATGCAACTCCATTGGAAGTGCAGGAAGAGCATTAACCCCTGAGTTACCTCACCAGCCCCAAGAGCTGTGTATGTAGCATGTTTAATAGCTAATCTTTGCACAATTGCCTGGTTGTTATTCTTGTCAAGCTTACTGGAAGGACAGCCTTTTTTTTTTTTTTTTCAAAAAAGGCAGCAAATGGACTTTTCAACGTGTCAGTAAGTAGTTTTTCAGTCTTGGGGAGGGTGAAGATGGCTAAAGGAACACCAAGATGAGCAACTCGTCAAAGTGAGAGGAAAATGATTCTGATGAAGTCTCAGTGTAACTCCAACCTGTTGGTGAGCTGCTCATCCACAAGCTCTGTTAAGTCCTGCTGGAGGGAGCACAAAGGGCACAAGTTCTGTGGAGAGGGGTATGTGACACTATCTAGCCAAGTCACTTTCCCTCTAGATTCTAGTCCAAAATTCTAATGGGAAAATATGGAAAGAATTCCTGCCTTGAGGCATGGGTACAGCCCAACTGTATAGGTTGAAGCCGAAGGGTCAGTTGAGTCCTGAGTTCAAGATGAGAGCAGGCAACACAGCAAGACCCTGTCTCAAAAACAAAACAACAAAAACAGCTTGGCTTGGTGACATGTCTTTAATCTTGGCACTCAGGAGGCAGAGGCAGGAAGATCTCTGTAGGTTAGAGGTCAGCCTGGTCTATATAGCAAGTTCTAAGACAGCCAGGGATGCATAAAGAGATCCTGTCTCAAGAAAGAACAGAAGTAAAGGGGGAAAAAAGAGAATGGCCCTTCAGGGAATGGAGAGATGGCTCAATGGTTACGAAAACATCCTGCTCTTACAGAGGACCAGGATTCTATTCCCAGCATCCACATGGTGGCTCACACCTTCTGTAACTCCAATTCCGGGAGATCCAGCACCTCTTCTGAAAAAGGATGGGTCCATCAACAACAGGCATGGCTGGAGGAAGGGCTTGGGGTCCCTATTTTCACTGCTGAACTGTTTACTTCTGACAGATAGAGGGACAGAGGGGAGATAATGCCTTCAACTCACACAGATGGCCCTGGTTAACCTAAATGGGTCACAAAACCAGCTGGGCAGTGGTGGCAAGCACCTTTAATCCCAGCACTAAGGAGGAAGAGGCAGGTGGATTTCTGTGAGTGTTTGAGGCTAGCCTGGTCTATAGAGCCAGTTCCAGGACAGCCAGGTCTACACACACACACATACACCACACACACACACACACACACACACACACACACACACACACACACACCAAACAAACAAAAAACAACCAAAAGTTGTGATTCTGAGGAGACTTGGTAAAGAAGAGTCAGAGGGTGGGGTGGGGTGAGGGAGGTGGATGACGGCATAGGATGGCAGGGAGATGAGTAGAGAGTAATCAGGATGCATTACATACGTGTATGAGACTGTCAGCACTGGCTGTTCTTCCGAGGGACCTGGATTGACTCCCAACACCCACATGGTGGCTCACAACCATCTACAGTTACTCCAGTTCCAGGGCGACTCAGTATCCTCTTCTGGCCTTTGGGGTCACAAGGCACAAAAATAGTGCACAGATGTATACACCTGTAGGCAAAACACTCATACACATAAAATAAATTTTTAAAAATGAGAATAAAAAGCCAAAAACTTTTATAAACTTTTTGTTCTACCAGAAAGCAGTGTAGGCAGCTTGAGCTGGTCCTTTGGGGACTGGGGAGCCATGTTACCCTGTGGAGGAACTACCTCCATCCAGACTGTAGACTCAAACAGGTGGCATGTAGGATTTACATTTATTACTTAGGAAGTTATGAATACCTTGAAGGGCATCCATGTTTTAAAGAAGCTTTGCATTAAAATGCTAAAAGAGGGCTGTGGTACTTCCCTGGGTTTGATTTCTCCCTCTCTCTCCCTCTCTCTCCCTCTCTCTCTCTCTCTCTCTCTCTCTCTCTCTCTCTCTCTCTCTCACACACACACACACACACACACGCACACGCACACGCACACGTGCTGAGGGGGATGTCCTGGGTTCTGTGCTGGATGCTTTATATGAATTATTTAATCAACACAACTCTAGGTTTGGGAGCAAAATGAGATGCAGCCATGTGAGGTAATGTGACCTGCTCCGTTGCCGTATTTGAGTAGTCTCCATAGATCCCAGCCTGCACTGATCTGGTGAAAGACATTGGCACAGGGTCTACAGCAGCGGTTTCTCAACCTTCCTATTCTCGACCCTTTAATACAGTTCTTCATGTTGTGGTGACCCCAACAATAATATTATTTTCATTGCTACTTCATAACTAATTTTTCTATGTTATATGAATTGGAATGTAAATATCTGTGTTTTCCTATGGTCTTGGGTGACCCCCAGGTTGAGAACCACTAATCCACAGGACCCTCCACCTGAAGAAGCACAGCAGAGCTTAAGCACAGAAAGCAAGCACATGGCCCACCCACAGCACAGATTTGGGGTTTCTCCCGTTACACCTCTTGGTGCAAAAATTAAAAATGCTTCCCTAAATAGATGCTCTGTAGAGCCAGGTGGCCTTTAATCCCAGCACTCTGGAGGCAGAGGCAGGCAGATCTCTGTGAGCTTAAGGCCCGCTTGGTCTACAGAATGAGTTCCAGGACAGCCTTCAAAGCTACAGAGAAACCCTGTCTCGAAAAAACAAACAAACAAACAAAAAAACAAAAAGGAAAACACTCTGTAGAATCGGCTTCAGGCCTCATGCAAGTGGGTCCATCTCCTGGGGCTCTAGGTGTGAATGGAAGAGTACCCACCGTGCAGTCACTGGGAGGAAGATGTGAGAAGATTCTTAGATTGCATCCAGGAGTAGGGGGTGTCGGGATCCTGATGAGGCTTGTGCTTCATGGACACACCACGTGTGTGATACATGTGGATGGAGACAAGAAGTCTGGCAGAGAAACTGCATGACAGAAGTATATGCCATCTGATGCCCAATGAACTTTGTGTGGCCCTTGGTGAAATTAAGGCATGAGGGCCAGAGAGATTGGGAGGCAGCAGTCCCAGAAATAATTCATGACTAAGAAAGAAGGGTGGATTGGGATGATTCCCAACTGGTGGGAAGAACTGGGCTTTAATAAGGAAAAGACATGTCAGGCATTGAGGCAACTGGCTTTAAGGCAAGCAGATCTCTGTGAATTCAAGGCCAGCTTGGTCTGCATAGCAAATTCCAGGCCAGCTAGGGCTACAGATCAAGACTC